GCCTTCGTTCGAGTGCATCGAACTTGGAGTCCAGCTTAGCATCAATCTTTGCTTCTAAGCTTGCAACTCTGTCTATCTCATGCAAGCCTCCTCTCCTTCGAATGCCGGTCTCACTACCCCATTCAGTATCTTCAGAGCATATCTTCTCCACTAGTTCATATGCTTCTGGTGCTTCCATTCTTGTGAAACCATTTCGGGAAGCATTATTCAGAGCATCTCGGTACTGTCTTCTGATCCCGTTGAAAAAGATGGAGATCACATTCCAATCTTCGAGACCGTGGCTCGGGCATCTCATTAGAAGCTCCTTATAGCGCTCCCATGCCTCGGTCAGACTTTCATCTTCAGCTTGTTTAAAAGTGACTATTTCCTCTTGCCTCTTCATTGCCTTGGCAGGAGGAAAGTACTTATCCAAAAAGGTCTTCTCAAGCTGACCCCATGTTGTGATGGAACGGGGTGTCAAGTTCTGGAACCAGTGTGATGCATTCCCTAGCAGAGAAAATGAGAACATCCGAAGACGGATGGCATCATCAGACACAGCCGGGCTCTTCATCGTGTCACAAATGTTTGCAAACCGGCAGAGATGTTCATGAGGATCCTCGGTGCTGGCCCCAGAGAAGGTGTACCCATTCGTGATCATATTGATGAAGGCTGGGGCAATCTCCATGTTTGCATCCCCAGCCGGAATGACAACACATGAAGCTCGGGCTCCAGTCCTCCGATTCAGACGAGCCCTGATCGAACGATCCTGTTCAGCCATGATGACAGGCTCAATGACGCGCGGCGGTGGTGTAGGTGGTGTAGGGATGACAAGTGGTGTCACCTGCCTTCTCGGTTGACGATTCTGAGTTAGGGAAGGCCTAGGAGTTTTGGATGTGGTAGGCTGCTTCCCTAACTTGACCTGCTTCCTGTTCTGTCGGCAGGTCCTCTCGATCTCGGGATCTAGTGGCAGTAAATTGCCAGTCGTCCTCCTTGGCATGCACGAGGAGGATTAACCTGAAAAATTCACCTGCACACTAACACCCAGATCAAAACAGTTCACTCACAAAAATCAACAAAAATAAGGTATGGCAGTCCCCGGCAACGGCGCCAAAAACTTGATAGGGCAAAAGCGTATGCCTTAATCCTATCTTGTAGTAAAACCGGAAAGTCCGGGTATCGTCTCTCAGGGACTGGTACAACCTTATGATTTATCAATTCTTTCGAGCAAACTATATGTGAAAATGTTTAAGAGATGAAATTATTAACTATTAGCAAAATAATTAAACTAATTAAGCAAAGTAAACTTGTCGAGGAAAATTCAATGGGAGAAAGCTCTGGGAGAAACACCGGGATTCACTACCTATCCTATCCAGATTAATTCACATATTTCAATCAATTTAATCCATACCTCTACAGCCAGGATATCACTACTGTGCTAGCTATCCCTGTCGGGAATTACTACGTACTAAATAATCAATTCAAATCCTACTGTCGTAGCTCAATGAATTAACTATATAGCCTGAAGATCGATATCCTATTTAAGACCGCATAGCACCTTATTTAATCCACTGTCGCTTCGATAAGTTACTATGTCACATGAAATAGGTTCAGTTATTAGGGTTTCACTGTCGCTAATAACCTAATCAACTACGATTCATTGTATTGGTGGCCAGTCAACACAAAGCATTAAGAAATTTCATGCAATAGAGATAGGAAGAAAAGAATCATGAATAATCCATCAAATCAAGAAATAGCTACATCCTATGGTGTTTCCCCCAGAAATTGGGGTTTAGTTCATGACGAAATTAAGATAAATCGATAGGGTTTTGTTCATCATGTTCTAAATCAACAATACACAACTAGTTAGGTTCAGAAAATCCAACCAACTAATCGCTCTCGTTGAATTCAGCTCAAGCCTTGAAGAACTGATCGCCAATTGTCGATCCGCTCCTGCTGCCCGCTGCTGCTTCTTTGCTCCGCTTTTTCAATTTCTTTCTCCCTGTGAATTTCCGCCCACCTCTACAGCCAACTCAAGAAAAGTCCCCCCAGTTAAAATAAAATGCCGCCGCCTTTAATTCCCCTCGTCCCCTCCGAGAATTTCGGTTCCTTTGCCTCTTCTTCCTTTTTCAATTATTCCTCCCCCCCAGCAATTATCTGTCCGCCCAAAGATTCCAAGTCCCCAATTAATTATGGCCTCCAAATCCACTTCTTAATTCCCCAAGCCAATTCCATGTCCAACTCCAAATTAACAGCCGCCTCCAATCACCATACCTTCGGCCCAATTCTCCTCTTCCCAAACAAGTCCAATTCCGCTGCATTAATTCAAAGTCCCATCAATGTGGGCTTTGGCCCAATTACTTGTTGTGGAAGAAATATGGATCCAATTCCTCCCGCCATCTCCTGCTTCGGAAGTTCCAGTGCTACCATTTTATCTATCTTTTCACCTAAACACACACCAAAACTCCAACACAAAATGGTAATGGCTTTTCAACCATTACAGATTAATTCTCCCTAGAATAACATCAATCGGCTTAAACATACCATGAGATAGTCACATAAAACTCATGAATCCGATATATTAAAGCCGAATATCATTGGCTATGCTGCTGATCGTAAGACATATAGATTTATGATTTGAATGACCGTACTATAATAGAATCTATTGATGCTGATTTCTTTGAGACGTGATTTCCATTTAAAACGAGAAATAATGGGAGTAATGTACTACATACTATTAGAGATAACGAAACTAGTGGGGGTGTTGATCTGAGGATAAGTCAGTAGAAGTAAAATAGCTAGACTCTCTTAAGATTTTGGTGATGACTTTACTGCAGTATAAATCCTTGAAGATCCAAAAGTTTGCAGGAAGCATTAACTTCCATATATGTAGATTTTTGGAATGAAGTCGTTAGAGATGAAATGGATTCGTTGGAGGCAAATAAGACTTGTCATCTAACATATTTACCTCGTGGCTGCAAGGTCTTAGGTAATAAATGAGTTCTAAAAAATAAACTTAGACCTGGTGGTGCAGTTGAGAGGTTAAGAGCTCGCCTAGTAGTTAAAGGCTATAGGCAGAGAGAGAATATAGGTTTCTTTGATACCTATTCACCAGTATCTAGAATAACATCCATTTGTGTCATGATTGCTTTTGCTGCCTTGAACAATCTTGTGGTACATCAAATGGATGTTAAAATTGCTTTTTTGAATGGTGATCTGGACGAAGAAATCTATATGGAGCAACCTGAAGGGCTTGTTATTCCTGAACATGCCTCGAAAGTCTGTAAGTTAGACAAATCATTGTACGGTTTGAAACAGGCTCCAAAATAGTGGCATGAGAAGTTTGTCAACCTAGTTCTCTCGCATGGCTTTAAGGTGAATGAAAGTGACAAGTGTATTTACTACAAATCAGAGAATAACATTTGCACTATCATATGTTTGCATGTAGATGCATGCTGATATTTGGTACAAATATTCACGTAGTCAATGAAGCAAAAGCCTTGTTGAGAGAGAGTTTTGAGGTGAAAGATCTGGGTGAAGCTAAGTTTATGCTTAGAATCCGGATAACTAGAATAACAAATGGTTATTCTATAGATCAATCTAACTACATAGAGAAGATCTTGAAGAAATATAACTAACTCGACTGCAAACCTACGTGTAATCCGAATGATGCTAGTATAAAGATATTCAAGAACACTGGAGACCGTGTAAGACAATATGAAAATGCTAGCATCATGGGCAGTCTCCGTTATGTAGCGGATTACACTCGACCAGATATTGCATATATCATGGGATTGCTTTGCAGGTTTAATAGATGTCATAGTAGAGAGCGTTGGAATGCTATAAAGAGGATCATGAGATACCTCAAGAGAACAGTGAACCTTGGTATACACTATCAAAGATTTTGTGTTGTACTAGAAGGGTATAGTGATGCAGGCTAGAATACCCCTATCAGACGACTCCAAAGTAACCAGCAGGTATGTCTTTAACATTGCCGAAGTAGCCATGTCTTGGAAGTCTAAGAAATAATCAATCATATCTCAATCAACTATGGAATCAGAGATTATACCACTAGCAACGGCTAGTGAAGAAGCGAGTTGGTTGAGAGAATTGATGTCAGGGATTCCCTTATGGGAAAGGATGGTCCCTCCAGTATTGATCCAATGTAGTAACACCGCAACTATAGCTAAAGTTGAGAACCGGTTCTACAACGGAAAGAGACGACAAATTCGTCGTAAGCATAGTACTGTAAGAGAACTCCTGACAATAGGAGCAGTGAGGGTGGATCATATAAGATCCGAATAGAATCTACTTGATCCTTTGACGAAAGGATTACCTAGAGAGAAAATCCAGAATACCGCCAAGGGTATGGAACTTATGCCTACCGAACCATGGGTTACAAGTGACGGTAACCCGAACTGATAGACTGGAGATCCCAAGAAACGGGTTCCATAGGTAATAACAAGTAATGGTAATATTGAGAAAAGTTCATGCATAATGAATCACTTTACTTTGTGGGTTCTTCTGATAGACTCACCTGTGTGAATGTGGGAGTGGGGCCGCTCTCTATGGAACTTTGGAGGCACAAAGTTGCTAGAGTGTTCACTAAACCAGGATAACGTGCAGTGCCATAAACACACAGGCTAAGAAGAGAACACGACTTAATGAAAAGATATGGTGTGCTACACTGTCTAAAATTGGGTTCAAGACTACGAGTTACCATTATGAAATCGGAAGTGTAACCACTACGCTAAGGTTCAAATATTCACGATACCTAAGCTTATGCCCGATATGGAATTGTTGATGGTCAGAGATAGTTTTAAAGATATATTCGAGTGGGGGATTGTTGAAATGAGTAAGTGAATATCTTTTGAAAGCTATAGGTCCTAAGGATAGAATACCACATTGGTGGGAGAACTCCTACCAAAGTGGTATAAAGAATGGGTTCTCTCACTTAAGGGCATGCCCCTTAGGGTGTCCCACTTTTGTGAGAGAGGGAGGACAAAATGGACCACCACACACACGCGCACGCCGTACGTTTAATACAAGCACGAATGTGCTTTGTTTTGAGATCAAAGGGCGCAACACCGATCTCCTCGGAGAAGAGATCGATGTTGATCAAACTTAAAACGTAAAAAGGACCCAAAGGTGCAATCTTTCATGTGGAAGAAGGCTCGATTGGTTTAAATTGAACCTTGGCCATGATTGATGCGATTTCAATCGATACGAAGCAAGCTTGTTGCTGGGAACTCGACTAACACACAAGGGTTTGGGGACGAAGTCATAATTTCATTCAATCTTCTCTACCAATTACACGAGGCTTCCAGGCCTTTAAATTGACAATTAAAACGTCAATTCCACTTCTTAACTAACTAGGAATCTGACTCGTCCCGAATATCACAATTAAATCCCACCTAAGGCCCAAGTATAAACCTTAGTAGGGTGCAATATAGGGCAAGTATGCTTAAATATCAACCCGGGCCGATCCATGTACCCCTACTTTAATTGTTTGAAACATTATCTAGCGGATTGATCTTTCGGTTGAAAAGTAGGAATAATGAATTAAAGAAAATAAAAAGTAAATGGTTTTGAAAGCTTAATGTAAGAAGGATCACTCGGGTGTCGCTTCCCTCTAACTACTTCCATGGAAAGTGGAATCGAATGGACCGTTACGGGCAAGGTGACCACAAACCGCTAGGAAATGCAACTATGGGCATATACCACACTCTCGATTGCCAAACCAAGGGATACATCATACATTATAGGCTACTCAAGTATCCCTCTTGGTTAAGGCAATTGAGGATTGACTTACTCTCACACTCAACCTAATGGTTGGACGGCTTAATCGCGCTTAACCAAATTGTTTAATTCAAGATAGAGGTTGCCCTATATTAACCTAGATAGGTGGCTTAAAAAGCCCAAGGAATCCCAACTCAATTGAGCCTCCTTTGAAAGGGGTTTTCCCTCTAAACTAGGTTAGAATGGTCAATTGGATTGCCAAACACAAACATGCACAATCATCATGAAAAATACCTCAATCATTAAATTAAACAACACCCATAAACAATCATTTAATTCACACAACAAACTACATGGCAAATAGTTAGGGTTTCACAACACCCAAGTGAAAAATGAAACTACTCCATGCTAGAAAGGGGAAGAACACAAGAGGAAGAAGTAGAAACCATCATGGTGATGCCTCCAATATTCTTTGAGCTTGTGTTGATCTTCCCTTGGGGAGATTCTTCCGAATTCACCACTGGGAGCAAACCCTAGCCTTCTTTATTCCTTGGTTCATTCTTTCTCTAAAATCTGAAGAAGAAGACACTTTCTCACTCTTCGGCTCTCTCTTTCTCTCTTCCTTTCAGCTCACATTTTATAAAGGGATAGGGCTCAGTTCATGGTTCCAGTTCACGGTCGTGAACTCGTGCACGAGTCCGTGAACTCAGTGCGTCGCGTCGAAACGCACCGCTTCACTGGCTTGGGTTCACGGGCAACAACTCCAGTTTACGGTCTTAGTGACCGTGAACTCACCTGGCGTCAGTAACCTCTGAGAATGCTCTGGTGCCTCGCGGTTCACGGTTTTTTATTCCAGTTCATGGTCTTAGCAGACAGTAAACTCCCAAGGGAAACTGTGAACTTAGCCTTAAATCACCTCTTTTCCCGGTCTTTGCTCCTTTCTTCCAACTTTTGACTACGGGGCTGGTTTCACCTGTTAGATCCTGAAACACGCTAAAATATAAGAAACCTAGTGTAAAACCACCCTTTTAGGAGCATAAATGCCACAAACGCCGAAGGAAAACATGGATAAAATGCGTACAATTTGGCTCGAATCAAAATCAAATCTAACTCTTAAACAAACAAGGAAATAAGAATCCAAACTAAAAAAGGAAACAGGTTGTAGTTGCTTCACTTCCAAGGTTCTGCCTTCCTGCGCAAGTCATCAATCCACCTTCCATAGCCACTTTGAGGCTTTCGTTCGAGGCCTTCCAAAGAGGTTCGACCCAAACAGGCTTCAGTCGATTCTTCCCCTGATCTCGTGCTTCAAGTTCCAACTCCTCTCTTCTATCGACGATCCTCCATTTGCATTGAATAAGCCTCCCAAGATGGCAGCTCGACCTGCTTCCAAACTTAACCAAAATCAAGCAGTCTTCCAGTTTCATCATAACAACTTGAGGCATCTTGATCAAGCACCTATGGACTTTAACTCGTGCAACCAACCCCTCGAAGTTGTAAATAAACACTTGTTCTTCAATTTCCCACCTTTCTCTTGCATTTCCATCGACGGCGATGTAAGATACGAACCTGTAAAGCAAGCACCATGAAACATTTCGAACACTTAGCCAAATTCGACCTTTCTTCCTTCCAACATGAGTTGATTCTGTGACATCCAATTAACATGCGTTTAAGGGGAGTTTTAGGATCATATCACCGCTTGTTTGGCCTACTGTTCGAGCGTGTGGGTGGGTGGGTGGGCCGGGAACTGACTTATATTTTTTAGAGAAATTCTTAATTAATTATTTTGTATCCTTAACCGATACGAAGATAATTAACTCAATGGAATATTCGAGAGATAGTTCGGCCAGTAATTATCTTACCGACGTGGTTTAATGAGGGAAGTATTTTTTTTTGGATAAGGGTAATATAGTTTTCATTTTGTTGTCATTAAGTACTACTGAAGGGTTTCGACCTGGGACCTCCAGGTTCTAGGCTAGTGGTATAACCACTAGACCAAGCCCTTGTTCGTTTAATGAGGGAAGTAATTATCTTCCTAATTAACACGATTTATTCCCCAAGTCAGAGGGTATATTTTTCGAGGTCTCGGCTCCTATAAATAGCCGTCTCTCAAAGCCCTCTAGACGCACCACCAAATAGCATAAACACGAGCGAGAGAGTGTTTAAAGAGCTCCGGTTTTTGCACAAAACCGCCAAGCATCCAAGAAGAGTTGTTTTTATCTTGGAAACGATCGGTTGATAGTATGTCGTGAGCAACAAAGGCAGTGTCGCGAACGCTTTAAAGAAAACAACATAGTCTGCGACTCAGCTCCAGATTCGGCAACCGTTCTTTTTTTTGTTCCTTTACTAACAAAACCAGTAGAGGGCTTTCGATACGAAAGGGCTCAATAATTTGAGGAAGTGGATCTTATTGATTGATGTTGTACGAGATCTGAGTTGGGGTTCTGGGTGATTTATCATTCCTTCATCTAATCTTTTTCCTTTTTTGTTCAGATTGCTTGATTGTCAGAAAAACAGATAAAAAAAAAGAGTGCTAGAATCAACGGGTGCTGGTTTTGGGGGGAAAAGTTAATCTGCTTACTTGAAGATTCGTTAGCAGATACTAACTGATATCCAAAATACATGAACTAATATCCAAGTACTAAAGTATCTAGAAAACACATACTATTCAAAAATTGCTAACTGATATCCACAATGAATCAACTATTATCCCAAGTTCACAAACTAATATCTAGACAACACATAATCAGTATCCAGATAACACATAAGAGTATTCAGATAATCCATAAGAGTATTCATACTGAATACTAGTTGGTTGATTGTAGATATTAGTTGGTATCTGCTATCTGGATACTAGTTTGTGATGTTTTGAATACTAGTCTATAATATCTAGATACTTATCATACTTGGATATTAGTTCATACATTTTGGATATTAATTAGTATATACTAACAAAGAAGAATAACTAGGCTGGGTTTTGGGATGTGGACGTAAAACCATTTTGACCGAACCACATTAAAAATCCCGATCTCCATTTACTTTCCTGCTCCATTTCTTTTGTTTCTCTTTCTCTATTCTACAGCCTTGGAAAAACAGTCTCCCCTACTGTACGTCCTTTTCCAATTCCCGCGCAGCTCTCCAGACTCCAGTCAACTAGAGGCTCGAATAATACCCGCATGCTGGTTTGGGCTTCAATTGTTTCACGAAACTGCTGTAAGAAACCCAGTAATTTCTAGGGTATAAAGTGGGTGCTTATTGGGCTCAATTTTGTGTTAATTAAGCCCATACCAAGAGAAGCTCGTTTAGCTGTAAATAGACGATCATATCATCATCATCTTCTTCTTTTGGGCTTCTTCTTCCTTTCTCTTTTCACATCTTTTATTTTCTATTCAAATCACTAAACTTGCCTAGAAAGGAGTTTACACAAACTTACACAAAATCCCATGTTGAACTACTTCTCATCCAACTACCACTAATGCCAAAAATACCATAAAAGAAATTACTTCTAAATTTACGTACGTGCAAGTACGCAAGAAGTTACAAATTCTCGTTCTTGCTATTTTATTAATTTAGAGAAATAAACAGAAACACATGACATGAGCATATACTGGAGACAGAATTAAGTACATTTAGGCTAATTTTTCATTTCCCTTAGGGGTTTCGTGAGCTTCCGCTGTTTTACTAGTTGATTGACGACGAGGAAGAATTGTAGACTCAATGTAGGATGAGACCTCTTCTTCCATGGCTTGTACCTATGACAAAATTACCAAAACAACCAACAATATATACGTTAATTTACCAAAGGCAAACCTCAGTTTCTTCTTTCTCATTATAAATATATGCATATTTACAATTTACACTATTTGCTAACAACCATGGTTAGACGCATAAACTCAAACCAGTCGCATGTTCATTTTTTTTAGCATATTTAAGAACATTAAACATTAAGAGAAAAGAAAGGCGAGTCCATCAATAACAAACTGACATATTGGATTGGATGATTGGAATTTTTACGTCCAATCAAAATTGGAGCTAAGAATTTTCCATTATTAATTGATGCGATGTGAGAACATGGTGTGATTATTGGGAACGGATCAGGTCAGTAACCTTATGGTGAGTAACCATGAGTAACCCGTCAACATCAACATGACATCATAATCTCTCTCTCTCTTGGAAAGCCTTTAATTTTCCCCTCATTAATCTTTGACGGACGATTTCTCACTCGTTTTAAGTCGAAATTTAATTATTATTATTTTTTGCACAGTTAGATCAGATTAATTCTGCTCTTCAAAATGATATCCACTTTGATATATTTTTTGAACAAATAAAATTGAGCCATTTTTTACCAGTCTATACCATATGGTATTAACTGGTATTGAAATAAGAGCATACCTATGGTTTGAAAAGCGTACCATGGTGGTATGAACAAACCAAGACTGTAGGATGGTTGAATACATGATAGTAAAAGTATAATAACTGTCATTTACGACTATTAACATTGTGTACCACAAGATACCACCCCATATCAGGGTGGTATTGTATGGTATTGTGTGGTATTTTTTTTTGTCTTCTAATTTGTTCACCCAGAAATTTGTACATCCAATAGATCATGATGAACTTGTCCTTTCTGTGCAAACGTTTTAAAAAACGAATTAAAAACGAAGAAGATACCATATGGTATGCAGTTGGTACCGAGAGGTGATAATTTTTTTTCTCAAAAAATATTGAAAATTGATCTAATTTTATAGAGCACGATGAACTCGTTCCATCTGTGCACAAAAAAAAAAATTAAATCCAAGTTAAAACGAAAAAGATATGAGTCGATTAAAAAAACTAGGAAAAATAAAAATGATCTTTAATTCTCCATCCTTAGATCTAGATTTTCTAAATAAAGGGTTCGGATTTGGTTATGCACCCTATATTGACCCGTGATTATTAGTCATTAAGAATAACATCAACACTCAGTTTTAATTGTCTGCCGAGAATCAAATACGAAAGAGGGGTAAAGTTATAATTAAGGAAAGACAAAAAAGAGATTAAAGAAGAAAAACAATAACCTTGTCAATGACTTCGCCGGCGAATTCGGCCGCCTTCTCCGTCCGATCCGCCGCCACTTCAATGAAGTCGGTAACATTTCTCAGAGGACCGTCCGGCAAGGTGTTGCCTATCTCGTCGGCCACCCTTTCCACCTCCTCCGCTACTTCTTCCACGACGTGGGTTATTATCTCTACCGTCCCCACCGTCGCGTTAAACTTATCTGTATCCATATTTTCCATAGATTAATCGAATAAGTAACCGAGATCGGAAACAAGAGATAATAATATATTCAAAATCATGGATTAATCCTAATTAATCGTTTAGCTTTAGCCCTCCTCACCCTTGAGTCCCTTGAGCGACAAAAGTTTGCTCCGGCACGACGGTATAGCGATCGACAGCACTATTCCCACCAACCAAGCATTCCTGCGGTATAAACCATTTAAAATTTCGGCCGAATACGAGTACTATAGCACGGTTCAGTGGCGGAGTCACGTTGTATTCAAAGACGATATAACCTAGTATGTAAATTTACGAGTAAAAAAGTTGTAACAAAAAAGAAAAATAAACTAGTTGGTAAGACTCTAATTCGATTTCCTCGATGATTCGGGTTCGAATTTCTCAAACATATATTTTTTCACCAACGTACGTTCAGATTTCTGACTTCGTCCCTGCGAGTTGTTTAGTGCACTTACCGGGAGCCAGTATTCTTGGAAGGATTGTTGGGTGGCGGCGGGACAGCGGCCTGGTCGTTGCCGCCGCTACTTGACACGTGGATCTTTGTCGTCGTCGTGGTGTGACTGCGACTGGGATTCCGGAAAGAGGTTCCGATCGACGAGACTCTGCCGGTGAGGGATAATTGAAAGCTTCTCTTGTGATCGGCGGCGGCCGCATGAAGGAGACTGAAGTTGTGGGAGGAAACTGCCATTTGGGAGAGGAGATCGAGGATGTTGATTTTGGATCTCGGCCGGGCAGTCAACGCCTATGTAAAATGGCGGAAGCGAGGGGGAAGAAGACCAGAAGATAGATCGGACGGATTTGAGAAGGAAGACAGTACTTGATATAAATAAATATTTGTTTAATTATGATGAGATTGAAGTGAGAGATAAATAAGATTAGCACTAGACGGGACAGCTAGAGAGAGCAACATGGGCGGGCTGACACAGACTTCTAATCAAGTTTTTGGTTAATAATAAAGAAAGGCTCATTTCATCAACGTGGTTACATATTTAATTTACCGCGACCGTTCAAAGAAAGAAAAAACGTAATTGAGGGCCAAGTTAGGAACTTGATAGCTATAGCTTCCATTAATCATATAGTATTATGGCACAACTTACACATTTTTAATTGGCATGTACATTTACAAAACCAAACCCAAATGATTTTTGTCTTTCTTCTCTTTTGCTTTTTGAAGATAGGGGTATTGTCGAATTTACGCCTCCAGATTAGGGATGGCAAATTACCCATTCATGGGTAATTATACCCAAACCCAAGTAGATCCATTGATAATGGGTTGGGTATGGGTGAAGTGCATATGGATTTGGGGGTTTATAGATGGGTTTGGGTAAGGTATGAATATTGCTTCCATAATCTAAATGGATATGGGTTGGATATGGATATCCATTTACTTGAGGGTGTTTTAACTACACATGCAAAAATTGGACCTATTTGTAAAACTTGAAAAGTTTAGGTACCAAAATGTAAGACAAAAAAATTTAGGTACCAAAACGAATTTTCCATCGATATTTTGAGGGCTTATATGCAAAAAAAAAAAATTAAATTTAGGTACTGAATATGCATATCTATTAAGTTTGGGTACCAAACTGTAATTTGTATTTGGGCATGGGTACAAACCCAAATCCATTTGATATAAACCCAACACAACCCAATGTAAATGGATATGGGTACAAACCCATCAAACTCTACCCATATCTATCTATTTGGATTTCATACCCAACCCAATTGGGTTGGATAGTAAGAAACTCATGAGTATAGGCAAAATTGCCATCCTTACTCCAGATTGTCGAGGGTCAACCTCATTCTCCTACTTAGTTGGTGAGGACTTTTAGCTTATTATTTAAGGTGAAAAATAAATAAATAGAGTGGTGTATTTGGTTCAATCACTAACAATGGAAACGCGGTAATCAAAACAGGAAATTTAACGAAATGAATTTACGTGGTTTTCTTGTTGAATGTAAACAAGAGTATTCCACGGACGAAATTGTAATCCGAACGAATATATCCATCATTGGCCGGTTGAAAAAATATTTGGTTATTTCCAAACTAAAATGAGGGGTCAATATAGGATTATCCATTATCTCCTTATTTGTCTATAATACCATGGAAGCTTAGGATTATCCATTATCTCCTTATTTCCAAACTAAAATGAGGGGTCAATATAGACTAGTAGGTATTGGGAATTAATGTCGATCATGCACAAGAATTGTATAGTTTGTCGTTCTATTAAGACGTGTTAATTAGTACTCATCGTCCGCATTGAGTAGTTTTGAAATTGGTTTGAACCGGTGGCTCTTACCTTTGTATTATATATTTTCGTTGCTTGATCTATTTGATCAAATGTACTTAATAAGATTACCCAATTGCCAGGGTAAAAAATTAAATCGTACGTATACCACAATGTGAATAGATTATAATTAATGAAACAATTTGCTTGTCAACTATAATTATATCATATACAAAATGGTTAGGGCCATTCAAAATAAAGGAGATCGAGCCAGCTGAATTAGGCTGCTTGAGTGGGAGCAGCAGAATCTGTGGGTTGTGCAGCAGCAAGTTGTGGAATCTTAAGAGCTGAAGCTTCAATGTATTCTTCTACGTCTTCGCCAACCTCTTGCACCTAAAAAAAAAAAAAAAATTCCAAGTAACAATTTTATTAGTATACAAATATACCCACCATCCCTTAAAAAAAACCCACCATAGGGAACTAAACAAACAAAACAACTTGACATTTCTTTATAATTTTCTTCTTATGAAATGCAAGTGGCATATATATATTTGCAATTGCATGTTACGTAAGTTGTGTCTTGTCGTACTCGTCAGCTCTCGGCCAACTCTGAACTACCTACTAATTATCATCTTTGCAAGTGGCTTGTTTTTTAAATCGGGAATAATTATTTCTTGTTAGCCGCAGGTGCTTTTTTGAGGTCATGGATGATATAATGATTACAAAATTACGATGCTAATTAATAAAAATAAAATAAAAGGATAGTATTAATTAAGTAATGGAGCTCACCTTATCAATGACATCTCCGGCGAGTTCAGCGCTCTTTTCGGTCTTGTCAGCCACATCTTCAATCATTTCGAGCACCTCCTTGAGCCGGCCTTCCGGCAGGCTGTTTCCGATATCGTCGGCGGCCTTCTCGACTTGCTCCGCCACGTCTTCCACGATGTCGGTGATCATCTCCACCGTCTCCACCACCGCGTCCACTCGGTCTTTCAGACTCTTTAGCGACCACATCTTGTTTCGAAACGACGGTAGCAAAATAGACAGCACCACTCCGACCAACCACATTTGCCTGTGTTTCCACCAACGTTGAATTAGACATGCCTAAATCATAATTAGTAACAATTAATTAATTCTATATGTATTAGTTTTCGTTAATTACCATGAACCGGAGGAAGGCGCCGACGGAGGAGGCGAGGGAACTCCGGGGACCGCCGAGCTACGGACGGTCACGTTCCTCGACACGTGCAGCGTTCTGGGCTGGCCGTAGTATTGCAGGGAGAGCAGCCCTGAACATGACCTGAAAGTCGGTGGTAGAGTATTTTGTGGACCGAGATCGTTCCTGCGGCAGCCATGAAGTCGTGGGGATGTAATGCCCAGGGCGACGTAACGATGAACAGGAAGTGATGACATGGCGGCCAACATGATTATTAGGTATATAAATGTCTGACGGATTTGGAGAGTTTAGGAATTACAGGTTGTGTTAGCTGAAATTAATAATGTTGGGGAAGATGAATTGGGAGAAAGAAGGGGGAAGAGAGCAGCGTTGTTTTATAGGGTTTGAAAAGAAGAAGGGAACTCTTCAACTAATTAACGCAACTTTTGGCATTGTTAATTTGTCAATACATGGAAGGTTCATGTGGGTTTTCCACGCGGGTGAGGGAGCTTCGAAATGTGTTTTTTTTTTTTTACACTCTAATGGAGAAGTCGTTAAACTTGACCGGTCTTCCTCTGCACATGGTGATTTTGATATTAAAATTCGTGATCAAGATGATGGACATATTTAATTTGGCCCTATTCCACCTAATTCACCATTGAAATCTGTCATTCAAACTCTACCCAAAAGCTTACTCATAACTACTAATATATATACATAATTAGAAATTGTTAATGATTAGTAGATTATTGGACAGACTAATTAATCAACGACCGGCTTATTTCAAACATGTGATCGAAGCTGGCGCTACATATGCTCAAAAGTCAATTAGTTTCTAATCACTAGCTGATCCAAAGTCATCCTTCTTATTCTAAGCAACTCCTAACCAAAATTATTTCTAATCAAAAACTACTCATATGAAATATGGCGCTACATCCTCATAGATTGCGGTTTTCCGTTCACATGAAAGGAAATGCGGGTATTTCACTTTTATATACATACTAGTTTTGGTGCCGCACTATACTGCGGCTAGTATTCGAGTTTCCCCTTAGCCCGTCGATGGTTGTAGTGGGGTGTGTTTTAATTCACCTTGATTATAGAAAAATGTTACAAAAAGACCAATGTATAAGTCAAGATCATCGTCATTAACAAATCGATAAGCAAGCCAAGAAAATATATATATAGATGTAAAATTATGTTATGGTTCAATCATCATTCTCAAATAGAAAAATACACCCAGCAAAACAAATATAATAACATATTGAAATGGAGCAAATATGACTATCAGTGGGTAATCTACATTTTCTAATTGAGAAGCACATATAGAAACATATGTAATAACTGTTTCTTTTTTGCAAAAAAATAAACGATGACTCAAATGATGAGTTCACAAAGATAAATTAGGAGCAACCACACTCATACCAGTCTAAAAAAATATCGAGTACAAAAATAAAATAGGAACAACTGAACTTTTATTTTTATGGGTGGTTCTATCATACTTTAGGTAAAATCAAAGGTATGAAATAACTTGAGTAAGAAAATGACATAGAGACTTTGAATTGATTGGAGTTTGGCATCTGGTACTATTCCCATACTTTTAAGGGTTAAAATCTATGTCTCAATTCTTTAAATATCATACACTAAATGTCAATTTAATTAGAAAGAAAAATCAACAGTTATGATTCGTTGAACTATATGCACCAAATTACATGTACACTCTTAAATTAGACTCTATGATTCAGATAACTAAAACCTAAGGTTCACTCATCAAAAGTTAGGGTATAGTACCATGCCCAAAAATCTGGTTAATTCAAAGTCCATATAACGTTTTGTTTACTTAAGAGTTAGAATATGTCGTACCCTAACATTTATCAAATGTACATAGAAACCACCGTTACTTTTATATATATTAAACAAATCATTGCCAATCAGTCCATTTTTACCTTTGAAAAAAAAACAGTCCATTTTCACCATCTAATTGGCCCGTTCCTACTAATGCTAAAAATAGTCTCAAATAAAGAGGCCCATTAAATCATGGATCAGTGGGTGAGCGCCAATTTTTTTAGCTTAAAGCCCAATAATATTAAGTTGTCAGTTGAAAACAATACAACCTAGATTAGGCAACAGTAACCGGGATTTAACTTTATATATATTCCTTATGTTTGGCCCGGATTTTAGAAGTGTTTTTCGGGTTCAAAAGCTGAAGCAGAGCCAAACACCTGTAAAAACTCGGTTTTTGAAAAGCCGAAAATCGCTTTTGTATAACTTAAAAGCAGAAGCTACGATTTGGAGCTTCTGCGAAAATCCGTTTTGAAAATACAAGATTATCCTTACCATATTTTAATTTTATTTCAGAAAATATAATTTTCCTTCATTTATATCATTATAAAAATAAAATAAATTATAAAATCATATTATTTAACATAAAAGAAATCTAACAAGATCCATTTTGACTACTTTTTATTGTTTAGAATTTTTATTCATATTTTAAATTATAAGTCTTTTATAGTCATTTTACCCAACCTCTTATATTAAAAAGCACTTCTAATAGTTTTACGGCTAAACACTTAACTGCTTTTTTTTAAGTACTTATCTAAAAGCTCCGGCCAGAACTACTTCTGCAAAAATTCTGCAAAAGCTACCGCATGCCAAACTAAGCTATTAACTAGGAGTTTCTAAAGCTTAACTGAATTGAGTTCAAAATGTAATTATTTCTCACTCCCCATACTTCCTATGCGATTGCATGAGAGTCATCCAAGCCTTCATCAAGTGACGTGTGTGTATATATATATATAGAGCAGATCATAGGGACAATAATGTTGACTCTACCGAAAATTTATGTTCATTATGTGTCCGATGCGCCATTTTGAGCTTTTGGTGGACCAAATTTTGCCATTTTGGATTTGAGCTCCAAACTTCATTTCTTAATTTCAGTAACTAGGCATTGATTTCTCCTACTTGTACAAGGTGGTCTGCTATCATACTTTGCCCTGAAAGCTCATAGAGTACTATCCAAATGGCATCAAAATAATAAAAGTAGTCTTAGGAGCTAAGATACACACATTGGAGCAATTATCAAGCAATTTCAAACTATTATGACAATAAAGATATGAACACCATGCAAAACATGCCATTAAATAAGGATATAAAGTAGTATAAATTTATGTATTATCAGTAAGGGTGGCTATATGGTCCAGTTCGGTTAAATTGGCCTGAATTGGTCTAGTCCCAGCCCGGTCTTTTCGAGAATATCAGAACCAAAGATTGGATAGGATACAGTCCGGACTTTATCCGGTCCGGTCCCAGTTCGGTCTTGATTTTAGATTGAGCTTGTGGGTATTTGAGTGGCCTAAGGCCTGAAAGGGTGAGTAAGTTAAATTTTGGATGATGAGCTCTCTTATTTGGTTTTCGGTCCCGGTACCAAACGGTTTTTTATCTCAAATCTAGACCCAAATATTGAATTGGATTGTTTGCTATCCGGTCTCGGTCTGGTCTCGATCCGGATTATACAGTCCGATTTTAGGTAAAACTAAAAGACCGGATCAAGTAGCCAGCACTAATTATCAGTGCTTCCAAAAGTCTAGATCCCTTTTCCAAATCGGTTTAGGTCGCTTCCTTGACTTGCTCTTCATATTTCCAAGGCCCTAAGGCAGAGGCTTGACAACGATTTGGACCGCCTTAGGGTTTTTTGCGATGAACTTGGCCCAACAGATCGTTTCTTCATTCATATGACTTCTTTTGAAATTTGGGTGATTGAGGTAGCGACGATTTGGGCGACCATTACTCCATTAGTGTCACCTCCCTCGTTTGTTTTCTGAGCTTGCTTTATTAAGGTCCATCTTCACTTCATAATTCTTCCTAATTGTACTTGTATATATATGAATTTCATGAAAAACTACAGTCAAGGGAATCTAAAATATCGAAACACCTAACTACCTAAGGACTATAAATTAAATTTTGGACGAATAGTTCTCATTTCAATAATAGAACATGTAGAAATGCACCAATGGGATGTGAATATTATACCTATAACGCGGTAAACAAATATAGCACATTCAAGGGTCGTCAAATTGCTTCAAACTTTAGACTTTTTTATCGACAAGCAAGGACTTACCATTGCCGTACTACTCATTAAACTCCATATATGAAGCTTTGAATTCGATGTTAGGTAGTAGATCATGAGCAACTTACAAGACATCAACTAAACAAGATAACTTGACCACATCATTGAGCTATAAATCTCGTGAGAACAGTCTGACACTTTCACATCAATCGGGGAAAAAAAATCAACCAAGCACAAGATTCTGAAAACATGTAAGGTCTAGCTTTTGGAAACTTGATTTTTCTTTAGAATACTTCTACCTCTCTACAACCCGAATTTCTCTCTATATTTTTCTTGTATGCCTAGTACGTGAGAGCAATTTCTGTCAAATATTCCTCCACATAAATGCTTCTTTTAACTCATTCTCCTCAATTCGTGTATATACTCCATAATTGACATAACATTATATTGACATTTCATTCAACGAGGAACTGTAAGAAATAAAGAGTTGTCGCGAAACAACTCTAAATTGAATTTCCACACCCTCTATATATACAATGAATGATTACCTCACAGATTGCGGCATTTACCTTGCTATTTATTTTCAAAATCCATCTCATTTGCCACCTGTTTCGGCGCCCTTGTCATTGTGTTACACAAAACCTGTCCCCGAAATCAGTATTTATATTCATAACTAGGTTAGGACCGCACTTCGTGGCGGACTGGTCAACTTGCCTTCTTGTTATTAAATGGAATAAAAAGTGAAACTCAGCTTAAAACGCGTACTATTGAGTAAATAAAAGTTTGTTTTTCAAATTGGACTGGACGATGAACTAAAAAATGAGTAATTTATGATTCAATTGTTACTCGTGATAAACCCATTGCTGAATTATTTAAATAACCATTTATAATTGTAAATGAGAAGGCATATATAAATATAATTTAGTAATTAGGGTAGACAAAGAAGGCAGAGATGTAAATAAAGAATGAGAGATAAAAGGACAACTGAGGAAGTAACAAAAATCATTATGGCATTATTTATTTTATAATTTTTTTTTTGTTTTCCATAATATTTTTTTTGTTTGACAGAGTATTCAACCAGGGAACTGATTAGATCATAGCGGGATTTGAAGTTCAATGTATAATTGATCAATCATAAAACCAAAATAACTTTGTAATTGGTTCACGAATTTCTTCTATCAAATATGTGCTCTACCGTAATCAAAACCTAAAAATAGTTTAGGTGACAGTAGTGCAAATTAGCATTACTCTTAGGCAATAGTAAAATGGCTCTAGGTTTATATATTTTAATAATTTGGATATACAGACCTCCAAAGTCTCCAACCAATGTGCATACTTAGCCATATATATACAAATAAAATTACCTAATCAATAAATGAAATAATAATAATTTCTAATGAATATAACATATCATTCTATAAACAATTAGTTTCGATTGTCCACTGGTAGCTATAGCTTCATAACTTTCCATACTAAGACCTTGACTTGGTTTCTTCCACCACGGCAGCCACCGCCACCTGATCTTCAGCCTTGTTGCCGCCGCCGGCCGCCAATTGATCGTTGATTCTCGGTTTCACTTCTTCATTGATCTTCCTTTTCAACTCCTTCGCCACCTTAGCGTGTTCGTCGTCATCATCAGTGGCTTCAATGTAAGCGTCCAGTTGCTCCTCAAGTTCTTGTACCTATTACGTTCAAGTTCAAACCATTAAGTATCACGTTAGTCAAGATTGTGTTTTTTTTGGTCAAGATTCGAAAGGAAGGATAAAAATTGAAAACTCAAGTTAACCCACGTAACTAATCTTAATCCACGGCCAGATTAAGCGCATTTAAGCAAAGTTGATTAGTCAATTAGCACTTATCGCTATATATTGTTTATCTTTTCTCAACTAGGACCAAGGCAATCGTACCTGGTCATCAGCGTGTGCCAACTTGGCCTTTTTAATTAACCAATTACGTACGCAATTACATAATTTACCTCCCTGGATTAGATTTTTAATTGATTAAGAATAATCATGCAAATGGACACTGGTCAACATTTTAAATCAACCCATTTGACATTCTTAATTTTCATTTCCAAAACGACGACGAACTAATGTAGTAGGTTACCTTATCAATGACATCTCCGGCGAGCTCAGCGCTCTTCTCCGTCTGATCGGCAAAATCCTCGATGAGCTGGAATGCATCCTTGAGCTTGCCGGCGGGCAAGTTATTCCCTACACCGTCGGCCACCTTCTCGACTTGCTCCGCCACGTCTTCCACTATGTCCGCTACTTTCTCCACCGTGTTCACTATCTCATCAAATCTCTCTGCATACCCTTCAATAAAAATTTCAGTTATTTATTTCGTGTTTCTTTTTAGAGCTAAAACACAAAATTGACAAGAAAGAAAGAAAAGAAGATATAAGCCTCTACCTTTTACATTCGACCATAGTTGTTTCCTCCAAAAGGGTACTACAAGCGCCACCGCCACACCCACAAGCCACAGTTTCCTGCGCGTAAATGATTCACAATTGAAATTTCGTTCAATAACTCGATTTATTGGAACCAACTGGATTTTCAGCGGATAAGGGTTGATGAAGACTTTACCATGAACCAGGACCAGGGTTAGAAGGGAGACCGGGAAGCGGCGGGATGGGCAACCCGCCATTATTGCAATGGACACTCATGTTTCTACGAGACCTAACCCACATGCATAAAAAAAAACACGTTCAACACAACGAGGGAGAGAAAGGAAGAAAAAAACAAACAAGGAGAAGGACCTAAAAACAATTTGTGCATACGTTTTTAAGTTTTGCATCGTCTTTGTGTTGCTGCATGGTGCGTTGAGATGGAACTGGATCTTTGTTGGCCGGCCAACTGAGGCGATGGTGCATGGAACGGCGCCGTAGAGAGCAGTCAAGGAGCCCATTGCTCTACGTGCTAACATATGTGTGTTCAAGAGCTAGCTAGGCGAGAGAGATTTTGTAGACTTGTAACTTTGTAACGAGGAGATGGTTATTGTAGAAAGGAAATTTGGGATGGTGAGATATGGATTATAAGGAAGGAGCTATAAATCGATCAAGTATTTATAGTAAATTTTTTGAAGAGGGAGACTTGGGGAATGGGTTTTGGTGAATAAACAAAATGAACGTACCAAGAGGGAGCGAGGGTTTTGAATGCAGAAAAATTCCACACGCAACTCTGCAATTTGGAGGTGAGTTTCTCCTTTTGTTTCGATCTGTAAGCAGGTTGAATTTTCCTGGTTATGTAACAATTGGAGTTACGTACGTTGCTTGGTCCATTTCAAGAATACCGATTAAGAGAATGTCAAACCTATGTTAGGGCACGTGTTTCTTTAATGGGTAAATACAAATGTCAAATGGCCGGGTATGACTTTTCCACGGACTACTTTTCTTTTCTTTTATATATTAATCGCAAGTAGTGATGGCAATTTCAATCCACCCTGCGGGTATTACCCGATCTGACCCGCGATGGGGCGAGGCATGAGTATATACTTCCGACCCGCCCTGCCCCGCCCCGCCCCGTTCTAGACTCATTTTATCTCAATTTCTTACAATTTCTATACATATTTCTCCTATTTTGACTTTTCTTCAACTAGTTAGAGTCGCTCTTTCAACTTGTTAGACTCAATTACCCATTCTATTATCACTATTTTTCATTCTTAAATTGTTTTACCCTTCGTTTTATCGTAAAAAAGTAAAATTTACTTGTATTTTTTTCGAATAACATGTAAAAATGGGTCAACCCGCCCTGCTCCGTAACCACGCGGGTTTTACCCGCCCCGCCCCGTGGTAGCGTGGGCGGGGCATGGGAATTGAGGTACCCGCCCTGCCCCGCCCCATTGCCATCACTAATCGCATGGAGAATTCTTGTTTGCTCTACTCGGCTTTGTATATATTCGCTGCACGAGTACTGAACCGATATACAAATTGATCGCTATCTATGGAAAACTTCCGAAAGAGAGAAACGGGAAATTGCTACGTACTGTGGGTAAAAAGTAAAAACCGATACGTCTTTACTTAATTACCAACTTCAACTTTTACCAAGCCCAAAGGCCAAAAGTGTGCATATATATTCGGAAATGGCTGGCCGCTGTTTTGTCGTGATGTGGTTCGTCTTATCTTGCCAGCAACGTTGATGACAATGCCAGCGGCCAATAAGAAGAGAGATACAGACATTGCCAAATAAGAAGGTGAGTGTACAGCGAATGGTTTTGCGTTTGAGTCGGATATTCATTTCGGACAATGGTTTGTCCTTAAAAACACACTCACATTACATTAGAAACAAAAGTGCAGAGAACAAAGCTCAACTTTACTAACTACCATACAAAAACAAAGGCAAAATCAACCACATTCTTCCTTCTAACACTTAACCACACAAACTAGCTATTTATATCACTATCCGAAATGATCCATGGATGCCACTTGTGCATAACCATTTGTCGAAATCGGGCTCTGCTCAATTAGTACGAAATTGTCTGCTTTGCGTCAAACCCGCACAGTTTTACATTTGGGTATCCTCCCCAAAAGACCTCGTACTAATTGGGCTAGGTGGACGCTAATATACAATGGTTTTTTATTTCCTTTGTATCTCCGATGTGGTACTTCAATGGTCCCATAACAATCCTCCCCTCAAGACAAAGACCACGTACATCGTGTTCACTCCTCAGCGATTATCTTCAATGGGTTTCTCGATACAAGGATTTTCCCAGAGGCAGAACTCTCTTTGATATTCTTTCCAAATGCAGACCTTCCTTGATCCGCAAAACAAACGTGGATCTCTCCTGGATCCACCAGACAGACGCAGATCTCAAATCCCGAGGTCATCGAATGAGGGTCCCACAATACTAACGTCCACCGCCCCGAATCCACCAAACCACACTTTGATTCCACTTGTTGAATCCGGATAGCTCCATTAGTACGGTATTGTCCGTTTTGCAAAAAGCCTCGTACAAATTGGGCTAGGTGGACACTCATATACAAGAGTCTCTTCCCTTGTATAACCGATGTGGTACTTAGATTGTCTCATAACACCATTCCTTAACAACTCTAACAGGGCCTGAATCTTCTGCAAAAGCTTTACTTAAGATAGACTTTTCCCAGCATAAACTCTTATGCATCTCTCCCGCCATATTTCACTGATTATGGCCCTCCAGATCAACCGCCCTCTTACTGGAGTTTGGTTCCCACCTACAAATAGAGAAGTTGCTAATGCTAGAGACTCTGACCAGCAGCTCCCTATTAGTGTGAAAGACTGGAAAATAGCTTTCATGAGACTCAGCGAGTAAGGGAAGCTAAAGAACAAATGATCCCTAGATTCTTCAGCAGTCAAACAGAGAGCACACTTTAACCTTGTTAAAAGTAGCAATCATATTGAGGATAAACAACCAAGCAATTACCTTGCCTCTAGGAGTGCAATAAGACTGTCAAACCAAGTTGTACCATGGAATTGCTTCATTCTTTGGTTGGACAGACTCCTATACCCATTTCACAGAAATTACTACCATAAGACCATCATCCCATAACAAACCACCAGACCTAGTATGGAGATGCCCCTCAGCTAGATGCTTAGAGTTTAGGACTTTCCTCAATACCCATGAACAAGTTATGCTTGTTGAGATGTCTCGGATGGATGTGTAACTCAACTGATAGCTCCTAACCCAATTTTTCCAAAGTTCCAGCTTTGTAGGTCTTTATAGCCCAATCCCCTTTCTTTTTTTAGGTTGAGCAACAAACTTCCCAATGATCTTAGCCTTTTCCCCTCTTCCTCTGAGTTCCATAAGAAATCTAAGCATATTTTTTCTACCATTTGATTACCTTTACTGGGAGCTGCATGATGCTCATCCAGTATTCAGCTATATTGGAGATCACTACTGACACCAATTGTAGTTTACCAATAAATGAGAGAGGCTTTACAGTCCACCCCTAACTCTGGCAGTGATCTTCTCCATCAAAGCTTTGCAGTCTCTAGAGTTCAGTTTGCTAGCACAAAATACCTGATGGGAAGTGTGCCTACTGGAAATTCAGTTCCTTGAGAATTGAGTTGTTGTGTACTCTTATAAACTCCAGCACAAAATACTTTGCTTTTGTGGGATTGCACTTGAACCTAGAAACTTCGTAGAACATATCTAGGATCCTCTTAGCAACCTGCACAGGCTCATAGGTACCCTTAGTAAAGATCAATAAATTGTCTATAAAGCATAAATGTGATTATCCCATCCTATGGGTTTGGAGTGAGGAGGGAGCTTTTTAAGGAAAGCTGCTCTGTTAATTATGAATGATAGAATTTCCTTGGATATGGTGAAGAGATAAGGGTACAAACGGTCCCATTATCTCAACTCATTCTTGGCAAGTAACCACATAGTCCTCCATTAAAGCATACACTAAGTTTTGTATTAGTAAGACAGATCCTAATCCAACCAATAAACTCTCAAGAGAACTTCATTGCTATCAACACAGACTCCAAAACAACCCAATCTACACTATCAAACGCCTTCATGACATCAATTTTAATTGCACACCTTGGGGAAACAGTTTTATGATGATAGAGTTTTACCATTTCATGAGCCAACATAATATTATCACTTATTAGTCTATCTTTTAGGAAGGCAAACTAATTCAGACTAATGACTAGAGGCAAGACTTCTTTAATCCTATTTGCTAAGCCTTAAGTGATACACTTTCAAAGGATGTTGCAGCAGGATATAGGTCGAAATTGTCTCATAGTCTCAGCATTCAAAGCAATAGGAATAAGTGCTAAAGTATGTAGATTTACCTCTAATAGTAGTCGATTAGAATAGAAGAATTCTTGCACTACCATGACTACATCCTCACAAAAAAAATTCCCAGTTATATTGAAAAAACCCTTATGTGAATCCATCGGGTACGGGTGACTTATCATCTTTCATGGAGAACATAGCAATCTTTACTTCCTCTCTAGATACTGGATCACAGAGTGGACCAGATTTTTTTGCCGATAGGTGATGCATAAGCAGTTGAGAGATAAGAACATCATCCACCTTTTCACTTCTGAATTTGCAGTTACAGTCCTTTGTAAAATTAATCGATTCCTTGCTTCTGGTTTTTTAATTCTATTTAGAGGCCTAAATCACTATCCTCTTCTTCTGCAGAAAGTTATGGAAAACTTTGGTGTTTAATTCTCCATTCTAAATCCATAATAGTCTAGTTTCTGCCTATACAGGTATTCTTCTTCATGTAGCACTGGATTGAGCCTATCCTAACTGTCATTTATAGCTTGGAAAGTGATAGGAGATGGGAGGATCAAAGAGTTGTAATCCTTCAAGTTGTCTTCTGTTTTTTGCTACTCTTTTTGATATGTTTGAGAAACAGGATCTATTAAAGGACTTGATGCTTCTTGACTTCTCTTAGTTTTTAACAGACTATGTACTTAGGAATAAGTCTAGAAATGAGACTGCCAATAGTTAAAGTACTATTAAAAGGCTTTGGGAGCTTATCAGTCTATGATTCCGTCCTTACCAACATCCCACAGTGATCAGACAATCCTGGGAGAAGGAGTTGAACTAACTCTGATGTCGAGCTAGAAGGTTCCCTTGTCCAATAAAACCAGGGCCCGTCAAATTTGTTATCCTCCAATTCCATATCTTCAATCCATTTACAAAAAATTTCCATACTCAGTGTTTAGCCTGGGTTATTAGAAGCTTCTAGGAGGTCTTTGATGGCACTGAAGTCGCCAAGAACAAGCCAAGGGTTAATGTCTGGCTTTAGGGGAGATCTCTGGTACATTTTGAGCCTCTCATCATCATCATTTGAACCATATACATAAGTAATTTTTGTAGCTACTTGACCTCTTACTTTCGGCGGAGTTGAACACAACACTGACTTCGGCCAGGTTCTTCTATCAATCTCCTAAAAAATGCTTAACTCCTTACTCCGTAAACGGGTCACTGGTTGATCTGATCAGACCCCTTTTGACTGTCATGGCTACCCCCTCACTCGACATAGGCTCCATGGATAAATTGGTCAGTTTTTTCCAAAACCACAAAGTTCAACTCCTTATTCCAGAAAACTCGTACACGACACAGATTAGAGTGCTCATAGTTATGAGAAAATTCTCAACTAGCAAAATCCGTACTGACTATCTCTTTTGATTTTCCTTCTTTTACCTGTGTGTTAATAACACAAAAATATCTACTTTGAATCTAGACACAACATCCAATACTTGCTTCTCCTTTTTGGAGTGATTAAATTCCCTCATGTTCCAAACAACAACATTAAACGCTTATTTTTTGGGTTTGCAGGCCTCCCAGACTTTTTCTTACCTTGCTTCCTTTTACCCTTTCCACCGTCACCAATATGTCATTAGTTGCAAGGGTTTGAAACTGGTTCTTCATTGATGTTATACCAGCTATTTCCTTTCCATTATTACCGGCGATAACAGCTTGGAACTCATTTTCAGTAAGCAGCTGAACCTTTGTATCTACATTGGTACTCTGCCAATAAGTCATTAAAAGAGCAAGGCCCAAACGAGATTGGAGGCTCAATAGGGAAAATTAATGGGATAGCTCCAAGAAAGACTTTTAAGGCCTAAATGAGTTGGTGCTTATGGATGAATTCTTGTACAAGAAAGCATCTTTAATATCCTTAACCCACGTGAGTGTGAGGCCAGCAAAGGAGGAAGATTTGGAGGGTGAGTTCGGCAAGGAAGCGAGAAGTGGGTGCCCAAATTTGTTAGCTTTTGACAGGTCTATGAGGGGCGTCGCTAGAAGAACTATGCGACTACTCGTACCGGATTGGAGGAAAAAGAAGCGCAAGAAGCCGAGGAGTCAGCGCCTGTATTGCACAAAAAAGGTGAAGGAATGGGTGCAATTGGTCAACCTTGAGAGCAATAAGGTTGGTCTTAAGCGAGGAAGGGTATGACAGAAACATGATTTATTAAGGAAATTGGGTTTCTATCCTATTTATTATTATTATTATTATTATTATTATTATTATTATTATTATTAGTAGGATTATTATCAATATATAGCTAGTAGTCTTTTAGTAGAATTAGGTTATTTATTATGTTTTCATATTCCGCTATAAATATTTACTTGGCAATATTTATTCAGAATCAATCAAGAATCAATTAGCACAATATCCCCTTAAATCCTAATCTATCTTCTCTCATTCTTCCTTATTCTACCCTAGTTCTTCCTCAATTCTTTTCTAAATCTTTAAATTGCTACAATTTCCCGATTTCACCAATCCGATCGATAGAATCCTATAAATAGGTTTCTAGCACAATCGACATTATTAGATGACATTATTAATTAAATAAGTCCAATTTGTGAGGCGGGCAGGCGAATATATTGCCAACAATATTCATCACGCTCATCACCAATTCTGCAGGGACCGGAAAAGGAACAAACAATTAGCGGAACAATACACTCGATTCATTGTCGAAGACCCCACCGATGGAACCCTAGATCTCGAATTGAGAAGAACAATGGGTGAAAGGAAATTATTTTTCAGGCTTTAGGTTAGAAGAAGAGGAAGAACGATGATGGAAGAACGATTGTGAATTTTGGTCCAAATATGTTTTTTAATTGAAAACCTACATTATAAAAGAATTAATTTGACAAAATCCTACAAATAAAATTTCTATGATTTTGAACGAGGAATTTGAGGCTAGATCTCTCGTGAAAATTTTCATTCAAATGACGCATTAATACATTGTTGTGCTTCATTTATAAACATAAATATGTACACAACCCTTGACGCTCTAACATCAATAAAAATCAATGAGAATAATATTCGAGAATTGAAATAAAAAATTTAATTTATAACATATATAAAGCCTTTAATAATAATAATAATAATAATAATAATAATAATAAGTATTTTGACAACAATGATTTATAGCGTTAGCTATATTAGAATCAATCAATCATCAAGTCAACTTATTACGTGGAGGCTTATCATTGTAACCACCAGTTTTCGCATTTGGACAATCATTTATTACTTTTGCATTAATATGATATGCATAACTTGATTTGCATCAATATCCATTGCATAATTTAATCTTCATTGTTGGTTGTAACTAAAATAATCAGAATTTTTTATTTGGGTTGTTGGGATGATGCTGTAATTTTTCATTCTTTGTTGTTTGTTTGTTTGGTGTGTGGATTGTTAGGAGCATCTCTATACTTGAATTAACGGGCTAAGATGAAACTTTTACCTTTTTTTTAAAAAAAAAGGCTTTATTTACCCGTATATCATCATCAGTGGCGGATCTAGGGTGGCCACCCTGGGTCACGGCCCAACCCTCCTCTAAATCTGGAACTAGTAGTCCTTATGCGTTTATCGATTTTAGTCATTTGGCCCAGTGTTCTTTTATAATAAAATTGTGTGTAATTAGGAAAATGAGCAAGATGAACATATTCAAATCTTAACTCTAAATTTAGTCTAGAAATTCTAGCTCAAATGAGTCTCGTCTAAAGAAAAACAAACAATGAAATCTAAAATTCAAAAAGTCTAAAACGTAAAAAGCTAAAAGAAATATCAGATTTGTTCACTTGAAAAATCACTAGAGCAGGTGGTGGAAATAGGGATGGATACACAATACAAATTGATTAATCGATTGATTTGTCTAGTGTTGACATTGTCCGTTTCAACAGCTACTATGGAGAGAACTTTTTCAACAATAAAACATATGAAAAATGATTTACGCAATAAAATGAGCGATGAATTTCTCGTCGACTGGTTAACTATTTTATTTGAAAAGGAGTAGTATGCGATTAGTATGGATGTAGACTCATTTATTGATGATTTCACTATATTAAAAGATCGACGTGTACAATTGATATTGTAAAAAAAATTATAATTTTTTGCGGTATCTAGTTTTTTAATGAAATGCGGCCAGGTACTCTACTATGTCCTGGATCCGCCGCTGATCATCATACATATATATATATACACGAAATCATATATATCACATCATACCAAATCATACTATTATTGTATCTTATGAATGAACAGAAAGCCAATAACGTGAAAATCGATATAATTATTTGGGTTGTTGGAAATTTGGAATGAACAGAAAGCCAATAATCTTATAGAGTTGTGTAAAAAACTAAAATCTCAATTGAAACGAAGAAGCTATGCATCGGTTAATTTGACGAGGGATTAGAAGAAATACATTAATTAAGCATCCAGCCCCAACGCCACTAAAATACACCCCATCAGCTGTCCACAAAACGCAAAATTACTTTCCTACTCGTGCGAAATATGGATTAGATTATTGCAAAGCTTGTGTTAATTATAATTCATCAATTTTCTAATTTTTATCAACATAAAATACATGTAGTATTTGTTTGATGTGACGAAAACAAACATTCAAAATGAATGATTGTGTATTCTTAACTTCGAACTAGTTGAGATGACTGACATTATATAGTTGAGATTTTTTTCTTTATTTTCCCCCAACTTTAATCTTTAAAATTATATTTTCATTGAAAAGGAGCAGCGGATCTTGGGGGCCGCCCCCGGCCACGGCCGAGCCCTCCCCTGGATTCGAAGTTAGTATAGTCCTTGTAAATTTCGATTTTAGGTATTCGAATATGTGCTCGTCGACGGATTACGGCCCAATTCTCTCTACCTTTTTTCAAACGTAGCACAGTGCTCTATCATGTGATGGATCCTTCACTGAAAAGGAGTATACGTGAGATTTTGTTAAAAATGGATTTTTTTTCATTATAATTATGGAGACACATCACAAAAAATTTACAATACATCAAATTGTATGGTACATGTATAATATAATATATTTATTAATCACAATATATCAATTTAACAGAAACCAAACAATTCCTTAGATAAAATTTCATGAAATGTGATTTGGTTATAAAGCTCTTCATAACTCTGATTGTGCAACGGAACCTCAACGACAACAACTCCAAACGTTATAGACGGCAAAAATAAAAGAATTCCAAATATAAATCTGGATAAATACATGCATAACATCAGCAACGTATCCATCATTTTTGGCCGTGGAATATAGGGCACGAACGCAAAACTAAGTTTGGATAAAATAAAACATAATATCTCATAGTAATTAAGAAGTAGCAGTTTACAAAACACATTCAACTTGGGGGAAAAAAAGTATTGGTAGGACAAAAAAACGGCTGTCCGAGCATCTAATATAATGTTCAATATATTGTTTTTGAGCTGTATGTTGTCTTTACCATTTGACAATTTCGTGGACCTCCGATTTGACGATGAATTCTGGGGAACGTGAAGAAGTTTTCGAAAACTTAAACAGCTTTTTTATAGTTGTTATAAATCATAATAATAATAATAATAATAATAATAATAATAATAATTTCTATACACGAATATGTCCAAAAATCCAGTCAGCCAAAGAGCCCGCTCAACGGGGTGTGCAACGGTTCGATTTTGGTTGACCAAAAATCATAAGAATTGCGGTTTAATTGTAAAAGACATATGAAGTTCAAAGTATAAATTTACATCGTATCCGGTTTGATTTGGTCCAAAACAAATATCACTTTGATTAAATTTTTTCCAATATTTATAAAATTCATAAAAGCAAAAACCAGACCACCACGTTATACTCAACTCAAAACATTTCATTTGATCCAATACGATTCAATACGAACCAACCCGTTACACACTCCTACCCAAAGATGGGTTTCCTTCTGAACATCAAAATTGGGAATCTCACCAATTAACCACCACGAAGCTGGTAGTCCTCATTATTGTCTCAATTGGCAGATGCCCCAAACTTTCCCGTTTCCTTATATGGTTCCCGATGACCGCCAACAACCACGTCTCTACGGCCAATAATTAAACACATCCCTCCTTCCCTTTCTCTCCGCCCTCTCTCACCCACCAATCAAAACACAAAACCATGAAACACTACGCCAGTGGCGCCGTCGCGCTTCTCTACCTGGTCCAGCTGGCGGCGGGGCAGGCCGGCGACATGTTCACCCCGCCGCCGGCCAGAAACCCCTTCGCCTTGGGGTCCCAGTTCAACCCGACCATGGCCATCATCATGGTTGTCCTCGTCGCCGCCTTCTTCTTCATGGGCTTCTTCTCCATCTACGTCCGCCGCTGCACCGGCCGCCGCTTCCACGGCGACGACTTCCACTTCGAGCACTTCGCCGGCGGCCGGTGGTCCATCTCCGATCCGCCCGGGCTGGACGCCGAGATCATCGACTCCTTCCCGACGTTCCTCTTCTCGTCGGTCAAGGGTTTGAAGATCGGGAAAGGCGGGGTGGAATGCGCGGTGTGCATCTGCGAGTTCGAGGACCACGAGATGCTGCGTTTGATCCCCAAGTGCAGCCACGTGTTCCACCCCAAGTGCATCGACGCGTGGCTCGCCTCCCACGTCACCTGCCCGGTCTGTCGGGCCAACCTGAACCCGGTTCCACTGGACCGCTACTCATCGTTCTTCCCGTTTCCGGATTCAGATCGAGATATCCACCCGCCCGAACCGGATCGGGCAAACCAGAGCGGTTCCGGTGTCGTCGATGATGATCATCTTTCACAAATTTTGGTTCGTGCTGATGATCATCATCAGGAGAGCATCCATAATCAAAATAACGGTTTCGATGAAATCAATTTGTCGTCGCCGCACGAGCAAGTGTCGATGCCGGTGTCGGTCGAGTCACAGAAGAAGCAGTGCGGCCATGCTCGAACCGGTTCGAGCGGGTGGAGTTTCAGGCAGTTATTCCCCAGGTCGCACTCCACGGGTCACTCGCTGGTTCAATCGGGAGAGGATCCCGAGCGGTTCACCCTGCGACTTCCGGAAGATGTGAGGAGCCGACTGCTGACCACCGAATTGAACCGGACGAGGAGCTGCGTGGTATTTACCAGGGCGAGGAGCGGGAGGAGAGGGTTCAGGAGCGAGGGCGAAGGAGGAGGAGCTGGTGGGAGGCCGAGTAAGATCAGTTCTTCGGGCAGCTACGATCGGTTCGACCTTGATCAAGAAGATCGGTCGGTTCGAAAGGGTTCTGCCCCGGGACTCCCACCTCTTCCTCCAAAAAATGGGTCCGGTCCGAGCCGCGGTAAGAGAGGAATAGAAGGCGGAAACGAGGATGGCGGTGGGAGTCTACCAAGGAGGTCTTCTAGATCAGTAAGATCATCGTTTGACAGATTTCTGCTTGGACTTGATACGAATTATACGGCTAATAGTAACCAAAAGCCAATTGGTGAACGATCATTTGATCGTTTGAGGGGCGACAGTAGTAGTCAAGTTTAGATTAACAACCTTTCACTTTGGCACATTGTGTGGTAATTGATGAAGTAATGACACTATTTCCTCTTTTTTGTTTTTGTTTCACATCGAATCTAATTTGTACATACCTTAGTTTCTATTGAATTACAAAAAACAATAGATTAGAAGAGGTCACGGTTTTCAATGAAAGGTGGTAAATAACTTACTCACGTATCAAGACTTGTATTGTTGAGAGTTCAGAGCTATTCGGCATGTTTTCACAATTTTGTGTCCGTAACGCTAATGTTGGTTCAATTGCAAAAAAAAAAAAAAAAATCATTTCTGTTAAGTTCAATAACAAATTGGTTAACGTTCAAATTTTAACAAGTCATACACGCATCTACATTTCATTAATTAATATACATTATGATACGTTAAATATCATCGGAAATTTACATTTTGGTACGTAAAATTTTTATAATGACATTTCAGTATCTAAACTTTCAAAATTAACATATTGGTTCAATGTTTAGATATCATTTGGATCTACGAATCCAAACCACTAATTCATATCATTGAATCTACCAATCCATGAATCCAATTAGGGCTGGTAAATGGCTATCCTACTAGTTAGTGGTGTAACCAGTAATCGATCAAAAATTGGTGGTTAATGGTTACACCGATAATCAATTAAATAGTATATGGTCAATTCTCGATAGCCAAATTTAGCTAATTACTAACCGACGGGTAAACGATTAATAACCGACGATCAAACGGTTAACTAACCAACCGATTGCGGCTATCCTCATAGTTAAGGGAAAAAATAATAGGCCACAATGAGTCGCAAACATAGGTAAAAAAATAATAGAATGTTTGACTAGGGGCGGAGTCAGGATTTCGAGACCGGGATCGAAAATAATTAAAAAAAATCTATGCAACCAATATGGATCGAACCCGTTTGTTTTAACTTTTAAGACACAAGTCAAACTTGTCTACCATTACACCACATAACTATTGCATGACACAATTTACTGAACAAGCTCTACTTATAAAATTTGTACTAAATATCCTTAAACACCTAGGGGCCGGGACCGGGGGGGGGGCTCGGGGCCCACCCTAGCTACAATGTAGCTCCGCCCCTGTATTTGACGGCCTACACGATCCCTTGCCTACCTTAGTGGTAATAGTGACTTAGCTTCAAATGAAATTAATTTTAAGGAAGTCCTTTATGACTCGCTCCTAACTACACATTCCCAATCGAAGGCCAAGCATAACCAACGGTCGGGCGTAGTATAGGGTAGGTAAAGCAATACAATTATCGAATCACGGGTCTCTAGATGTACCGTTACTTTGCCTAGGTTCGTTATCTAGCCCACCACGAATAGTGATTAAGGAACTAAGCTAATCAAACCACTATTCTAGCTAATTACAAAGTGGAGCTCACTTAGCCCTGAATTCCCCTAGTTCCTTCATTGGATATTGATGTTAAGTACTAACCTAGATTGATTGACTCGATACTTCTACCGTGGAGAATTCTAGACTAGATTAGACTCCCAATTCGACTTATCAACCCCACTCAATTACACTACCGGGGGAGGTCTACCATACATGATACAACCGACCTAGGTAATTGAGGTGTACACAACCAACTCCCACGATTGGGAACCCCCCAATATGATACTATGGACCCAATCACTTGCTTAATGGTTATTTGGTTAGGTGATATAATATAATTGAGAACCAACTATACAGTGACAATTAACCGACTTATATAAATGGTTCGGTTAATGATAAGCACAAAATGCTTAATGATTTGCCACATCTAATAGATATCTTATGAATTGGAGCAGTTCTGGTATTTAATCTTATTGTCAATAACCATGCATAACTTCCCACATCACAATTTATGGATGGTCTCTAACTTTTTTTCCCTACAAATTTTACGCTATATCTCTTTCTTTTTAAGTCGCAATTTAAAACTTTTTGCATAGATAAATCAGATAAATTGTGCTCTTCAAAATGGTATCCACTGTGATATATTTTGGAACAAAAAAATTGAGACATTAGTACCAGTCTATACCATGATGGTAATGTTTGGTATTACATAAGATCATACCACGTGGTATGAAAGTGTACCACGGTGGTGTATGAACATACCAGAGTGTATAATGGTTGAATACATGATAGTATGAATATACGAACTGTCATTTACCACATTCATCATTGTGTACCACCAGTTATCACCCCTATATCTGGGTGGTAAAGAGTGTACATTTTGGTCTTGTATTTTTCCCAGAAATTTATAGATCCAATAAATCACGATGAACTCGTTTCATTTGTGAAAAGATTTCCCAAATTTGAGTTAAAAACAAAGGTGGTACCAGGTGGTAACTAGTGGTATGAGGTATGTAATTTTTTGTCGAAGAAGATAAGAGTGAATTGAAAAAAAAAACTAGAGAAATGAAAATTTCATTAATTATCATTTTTTAATCTGAACTCTTCTGTACCCACTCAAAACTAAGGATCTATCTATCTATATATATATATATATATATATATATATATATTTAGAAAAAAGGCCATATTTGATTATACAAGGGTACACGCTAATTAGAGCCCCACATAGATAAGTTCATGTCTGTCCACAACCTTGTGGTCATTAACTGTCCACAATCCCCATATCCGATGTCTAATGTAATTAAAGTGTGATCGTCAATTCTTCATATGAGGAGTAATAATTACACAGAGAGGCATAATTGTAAACTAGCCGTCCCTCGCATAATGGTAAACTAGCCGTCCCTCTGACAATTGAAAAAAATGGAGATATGGCACTTATCATTTATGGAAGATAGAAAAATTACAAAATCATTTAATTTTAACAAGTTAATTCTCTTTCATTTTAAGTCCAATCAAAAAAATTTGCACAGAAAATTCAGATTAATTTTGCTTTTCAAAATGACATCAACTTTGATATATTTTGATACAAATATATCCCGAGACTTTATTACCAATCCATACATGTGGTACCAAGGTGAGACTTTTTTCCCCACTAATTTGTAGATCCAATAGATCATGATGAACTCTTTCTTTCTGGACAAAATATTTTAAAATTCGAGTTAAAAACGAAGTTGGTACCAGAGTTGTATAGGGTGATATATTTGGTCTTGAATTTTTTTTTCAGAAAATTGTAGATCCAATATATCACGACGAGCTCTTTCTTTCTGGTAAAAAATTTTCAAAATTTGAGTTAAAATAGGATGTGATACCATTGTGGTCTTAGGGGTGGTAACGAGGGGTATAAGTGGTATTAAATTTGTTTTATAGAAATATGTTCAAAAAAATGGATCTTATTGTCAATAATCATGCATAACCTGCCACATCACCATTTATGTAAGGCCTTTTATAGTTTCTTTATAAATTTTAACGCGCTATATCTCTTTCATTTTTAAGTCATAATTTAAATTTTTTTCACATATAAATCATTTTAATTGCGTTCTTCAAAATGATATCCACTTTAATATAATTTGGAACAAAATAAAATTAGAACATTTAGTACCAGTCTATACTATGGTGGTAATGCTTGGTATTCCATAAGATCATACTATGTGGTTTGGATATCATTGTGGTTTGAACATACCATAGTGTAGGATGGTTGAATACATGATAGTAGAAATATATCAACGGTCATTCACCACATTCATCATTGTTTACACCAGTTACCACCCCTATAACAGGGTGGTATGAAGTGGTACATTTGGTCCTGTATTTTTACACACAAATTTGTAGATCTAATCGATCACGATGAACTCGTTTCTTCTGTGCAAAAAATTTCAAAATTCGAGTTAAAAAAGAAGGTTTAACCAATGTGGTAACGAGTGGTATGGAATTTTTTTTCTCAAAATACATTCAAAATGGATCTCATTTTGTAGATAACAACAAACTCATTTCATCTGTGAAAGAAAGGCGATTAAGAAAACTAGGGAAAATAAAAAGTCACTAATTCTCATCCATTAGATCTAAATTTTCTGGCCCACTAAAAATTAGGGGCCAAAATCTAATTACAAAAGAGTTATGCACCATATTCTGTACATATCCTATACATTAGGAATGGCAATGGGGCAGGTCTGGGGCGGGTTTCTTAGTACCCAGACCCGCCCCGTGGCAGGTTGGGTCCAGGTCGGGTAATTTATCACGGGTCACGGGTCGGGGCAGGTCGACCCAATGGGTATGCAATTTATATAAAAAACATTAGAAACATGGGTTCTTTTTATTGTAAGACTAAGGAAACAAACAATATTATGATAAATGTAGTTAAATTATTGGATTAATTGAGATTTTGACTAATTTACAACTTTATTATAGCTAAAATTTGATGTAATAAAAGGAAAATCCTAAGTAGTTTGACTAAACTTATATGTAATTTAGACAAGAACGGGTCGAGAATGAGGCGGGTCAGGACAGATCGGGTCGATGAGAGTACCCATGCCCGCCCCGAAACAGGCCCAACAGGTCGGGTAAAACGGGTCAGGTCGAAATTGCCATCCCTACTATACATGGGAAGTTCTGTTCTGTGATATATATTCTTCAAACTATCTAACAAATAATTGTTGACTTCGAAAAAAATTCAACTGGGCGACATTAAATAAAAGGGTTAATAAAATATATACGGCCAATAATACTATAGCAATGGGCTTATATATAATAATAATAATAAAAAAAAAACATAACAATGCGGAAGAAATAAAATATGAATGTTCGGAACTAATTTTCAACAATTAAAAATTATCATTTGCCAACCATAGGAGAGAAAACAACATTTCCTGGAGTCAAAAGATTCCGTAGGATATTGAAAATAAACATGACCTAAATACAAGAAATCCGAAGACGTGCAGTTTTGCAATGTTTATGCAGTTGATAACCAACCTGAATTTGAGTGACCATTTTATAGCTCAAGAAAGAAACAGAGGAAGCATAAAAGCTAGCAGCCCCATAACTCAGTTTTACATCCAAGAATCTATAGAACTAGAAAGCCACTAACTCAACAACAAAAACAAGAGAACAATTGTTAAGGTATGAAAATCAGTGTACCGATCATAACTTGTACGATATTAGGTACAAGGTCATACTTGATGGGATTAAGGTATATTAGTACTCAAATTTAATCTATTATCTTACTAATTCGGTTTTGAAGAATTCAACTGACAACTATAACTACTTAAGGGCGGAGCTATTTAGAGGGTAGGGTGGGTCCCGGCCCACCCGGGAATAGTCTTGGTCTCTAAGACCGTAAGGATATTTTGATAAAGGTTGAACAAGTAGTACTCGACCTATATATTGTGTCATGAATAGTCATGTGGTCTACTGGTAGCTAAGCTAATTTTTAGTCCAAAGTAAACAGGTTCGATCCACAACAATCGTAAACCCACTCCTTTTCATTTTTTTTTTGTTACTTTAATCCAACTACAAATGAAAAGATCAACCTCTACTTAGTTCACTTGGGAATTTTAGCTCTTAACTCTACATAGTTCACTTGGGAAATTTAGCTCTTTATAGAAACTATATGATCTTTTATTTTTTTTACTATGTCGGGATCAATAGAAATATGATTGTCCAAGAAATTCTATTTTGTTGATAGGTTGATTTGTCTTCTTCAAACTCTTTCAGTTTTTCACTGCTACATGTATCGTGCATATTTTCAAATATATAGATAGTGAAGAATAGATTGCGAAACAAAATAAATGATGAGTTTCATGTTAATGATTTAGTATATTGAAAGAAAGATAACTCAAATTTTTAGTTTAGATGCTATTTTGTGATATTTCAATGATCTCAAATGATGTTTGTATACTTTAAAAATAACTAAAATAATTATTTTATTTATATTTAATTATTTTCGGCCCAACCTGTCTCGAAATCCTGACTCCACCCCTGACTTAGGTCATCAACTAGACAACTAATATAAACGAATAGAATCGAAGTTGGCTTAATTCAAGCAAGGAAACAAGTTGCTAGGGAATGGAATCATCCTTCTGGAATTAGTTCCATAAGTAATCAGAATTGGGTTTGAATTGTGAATTCAATTATGATAGTGTAGAGATTCCAATGTCTAATTGTAACTCATCGTTAATTATATTATGATGCTTTTGTTAGGCTAACGTATTCATTCTGATGTGATCCAAATAGCACAATCTCAAACATGCAAGCTCCTTGAATCCCCTTGATAGGTTACCGTAGTCCATAAAGAATGTGGAATTCATTCTTGTTTGAGCTTGACTGGGTGTAGGAGGGAGACTCGGGAAAATGGGTCAAGGAGAGTAAACAATGAGGGAATAATCGTCGATGGAAGAACTGAGGAGATTACGAAAAGAATTGAGAGAGAAATATCTTAGAGAGAGAAGTCGATGATTTTAGAGATAGAGTCCGAAAAATCCGATCCCCTCACCCACCGGAGTAAATGCCATATTTATAGGCTACATGGTGGTGGGTGAGTGGTTGGGTTACATGTGGGTACAATGACATGACCACTGACATGCCAGGGATTTAGGCCATGCTTTTAGGACCCTGATGTGACTACTCCTGACTTAGCCAGGACTATACCTAGGACTATGATGGTGACTACCCGTTGGATGACGCGGCGGCGCTTCTACGACTTCTCAATAAGGGTCCACGTCTGTCCAAAGCGTCGTCGTTTAATGTTTGTGCGCGGCCTCCGGGGGTGGTCTTTACCCGCGCGCTTGACTCCGGCGTGAGTATCCTTGGGTGCTTCTTCAATGTGGTGAGATCCGAGTCGCATGCCCAACAATTGCCCCCCATCAGGGGGTATTCCGCGAATGCCACCTGTTTGATCTTCGTGTGGCTGACTCGGATCTGCGCGATTCCGTCTGTTTCCGCGCTATTGACTGTGATTGGCGCGGTCAGGGTGAGTCGGGGCCTGTTTGGTCTCCGCGTGATCTTCGCGTCTTCAATGGCGCGCGTATCTTGTGCATCGCTGGGCGTTGCCCCCATCGGTGGTAATCCGCGGGTGCTGTCCGTTTGATTTGCGTGTGCTCGACTCAGTTTTGCGCGATTCTCGTCTGATCGAGATCTCCGGGGTTGGTTGTGCGTGCGGTTTCGTGGGATTCTTCACTTGTTGTGCGCGTTACCTTTAAGTTGAGGATGGCGTCGGTCGAAGTTGGTGTGTAATGCCCCCCTGTTGTGCGCGTTACCTTGAGCTACGCGCGTAAGTCATGTTCTTCCGTTGGTGTGCGCTACTTTTGAGTTGGGGATGGGTTGTTTTTTCTTCCTCGCGGGTGTGTCATGCCCCCCAGGCGGTGCGCGGCACTTGTGGCGTCATCGACTAATGTCTCTGATGGCAGGTGTCCACGTGCCCCTGTATGATTGGGCTATTTGGGCGGGGATTTCTTGAAATTCAAAAAAATTCGAAAAGATTTGGTAGGATCTGACGGTTACGGATCCCTATGTAGCTTTAACCTTTCGTTTTCCCTTGGCCGACTATAAATATGGGTTTGCTGTAGGAGAGTGGGACTCATCTGTTTTCTTCGACTCTGCTTTCAGTTTCTTCGTTACTCCCTTCTACGAGATTCTTCTCCTTCTTCTACAACCTCGATTCTCCTTTTGCTGTTGCTGAAACTCGAGTTATTATCATGGCTAGCATCAACATCAACGAGACTGAGGTCGTACAAGGCGAAGAAGGTAATCTCTCCCCTCTTTCGCACACTTCTACTGATCGTTCACTGGAATTAGATGACGGTTCTGGTGGTGGGAACGGCGGCGGTGGCAAAGGGGTTCCGGCGACGCTGTCGTTCGACATCGAGTCGGAGGATGATCTCGGCGGTTCTCCCGATGTGTGTATGGGTGCTTCCGGGAGCGGGCAGACGAGACAAGGAGCTCGTGGGGTGCTGATAATCCGGCGTGGTCATGATGGGAGGCCAGTGGTTGCTGACGATGAGGTGCGCGAAGACTCTAGCGTACAATCAGAGCCGCACCATGTGGTGCGCGTGACGGAGGCCATGGCTCGACTCGGACTACGCGGTGTTGGCGCCGCGTATACTGTTGTAGAGTGGGCCGAGATGTGGGGCGATCAGCCGGCACCGCACGACAACCTCAAGCGCGGGCCCGAACACGCCTCCATATACGATGTTGGTGACGTGGAGGAGATAGTGCGCGGACTGGGCTTGCCCCCCCCCCCCATTGGGAGTACGCCGCTCCTTCTACGCGCAGCATGGTGGGTAATTGCCCCGCGTGGTGGTTTGGCGTGTATACAGAGTATTGGGTGATGGGGTTCAAGATCCCCATCGACCCGCTCTTATGTGCATTGTATAGGCGTCTCAATTGCTCCGTTGGGCGGCTCTCCCCGTCAGTGATCATGCACGCGAGCTGTCTTCGCCTCGCGTGCAAGAGGCTTAACATCGAGCCGACTTACGGCTTGTTCCGGAAGATATATAAAATCAAGGAGCCAACCACAAGAAGCGACTGCCTTTCCATCAAGCGTCGCGACAAGAGGCCCGACGGCTTCGTGTATGGATCGCCCAAGTTAAAGAAAACTTGGTTCGAGCGCTTTTTCTACGTCAAGCCCGTTCCTGGAGAGTGGGCGAGTGAGTTTGTAGAGGAGCCTACTGAGTGGAAGAAAGGCAGCACGCACGGGTATGAGTCGGATGCCGGCGCCTATGACGGGCTGAACGATGAGTATGAGGCGTGCATGCCTCATAAGATCAATTTATATGAACGGGGAGTGCGTGAGGCTTGTTTGCAGGAGCTGTTCACTGATGGTTAACCGCTTTCTTACGACTTATTGGCGCAGGTGTTGACTTCTCCAACCTTGTGAGCATGATGTCGTTGACGACGTGGTGAAGGCGTCTTGCGCTGACAAGAAGAAGAAGAAGGAGGAGGGCGCAGTGCCGAGGGGCACGAAGCGGAAGGGGATTGAGCAGCCATCGGCGGTTGAAAGGCCCCTTAAGGTGGCTCACGTTGCGGAACCAAGTGTGCGGGAGGCGCAGGCTCCGCGAGCGGAACGGCCGCTGTCTGACGCGTGGCAGCTATCTCTGGCGCTTTCACAGCCGGAGGTGGCAGTGAGTAGGCCTTCTCGGTCTGAGAGAGAGAAGGACGGAAGCTCTTCGGGTGCCACCGTCCAGCAGAAGCTGCCCGAGATGGCAGGATTTGGGGGGACTCCCGCAACCTCCACTCCCGGCGTCGCTGGTGTCAACTACTTCCGCGATGTGCGGATTCACACCGCGGCGGCTTGCAATCTGGCGTCCGCCAACACCGCACTCTGGGCGCTCGGGCCTGTCCTAAGTGTTCCGCCGCGGGCGGAGAAGTCTGATCCCCTTCTTGACTTGGCTCAGATCCACTTCGCGGTAAGATCGGGTTGAGTTGTCGCGTCTCATCTCTTCTTCTTGTTTTTTTTTATGCAATGTTTTGTTAAGTCTTTTAGCGTTGTGATTGTAGGGTTTGTCGGCGACCTTCCGGGCTCAGAAGGAGCGCGCAGCGTAGCGCGCAAGGATACAGGCTGACGAGGCTAAGATCGTCCAGCTGGAGGGGAAGGTCGTTGGGGCGAACAACCGTGCCGACGTGGCCACAAACAAAGCCAACGAGGCGATGGAGGAACTCGGCGTCCTGTAGAGCAAGGTGGCCGCCGACGTAGAGGCGGCTAAAGAGCAGGTGCGGGCCTAGGAGCGCTCCGCCATCCGCGATCAGCTGGAGGCCTCTTATGCTGAGAAGCTGAAGCAAGCTCGCGAAGAGCTTCAAAAGGAGAAGGACGACCTGGTCCGCCTTCAAAACATCGCGAAAGCGGAAGCTGTTCGCGCGGCCGAGGTCGCGGCCGTTCGCCAGTTCAAGTCTTCTCCCTCTTTCGGGAAGATTTGGCGGACGCCATGACCAAGGCCTTGATCGCGGTCGGGAAGAAGGTTCGGCCGGAGAACCCGGAGGTTCGGTGGGATACTCGCGAGATGGTTCGACAAGTCCAGACGTGGATTGGCGAGAAGCGGCCCTTGGAGTCTGACTCCGAGTCTGGGGATGAAGATGAAGAGGAGGATGAGGAAGAGGAGGAGCGCCCGGAAGGGGAGGAGGGCCTGGTTGGGGAGAAGGCCGAGGGCGCAAGTAGGGACGCTGAAGAAGCTGAAGATGACGAGGAGGAGGACGTTCAGCCCTTGTTGCGCCGCAAGCAGAGTAAAGAGGGCTGAAGCTCTTAAGTGTTTTCGCACTAACATGTTTTCGTGCTGACATGTTTCCCCTTTGAGTCTGTTGCTTTTCTTGTTTTCCTCTTTCTTTTTTTTCTTCTTTTTTTTATCAATTGTAGTTGCGAGTATTTGTTGCTCCCGCTTAACTGAATCCAAAGAGTCCTTATTCATGGCGTTTGTTTGTTTTTTTGAATCGAGTGGGCGCGAATACTAGTTTTTTGTTCTTGCGCACTGAGTGAGCGCGATTAGTGTCTCACTATTGCTAATCTTTGTTTTTGCGAACTGAGTGAGCGCGAATAGTGATGGACTATTGCTAGTTTTGTTTTTGCGAACTGAGTGAGTGCGAATAGTGCGGGACTATTGCTGATTTTTGTTTTTGCGAACTGAGTGGGCGCGAATAGTGCTGGACTATTGCTAATTTTTGTTCTTGCGAACTGAGTGGGCGCGAATAGTGCTGGACTATTGCTAATTTTTGTTCTTGCGAACTGAGTGGGCGCGAATAGTGCTGGACTATTGCTAATTTTTGTTCTTACGAACTGAGTCCTTTCCATTCCTTTGCGGCAAAGCGCGATAGCAAGAAAGATACATATTTAAGTTGCCCGGTGATATTTCTTTAAGTTTTGCGCGTTCCACGTCCTTTGTATCTTGTTGCCCCCCAACTCGCTGAGTTTGAAGGTGTTGGCACCGACCACTTCGCGGATTAGGTATGGACCCTCCCACACTGAGGCGAGCTTTCCATGCTTGGGGTCGGGGCGGAAGTTCCGTCGCAGTACTTGGTCGCCGAGAATCAACTTATGTGGAACCAGCTTCGCGTTGTGGTACTTGGCTACCTGCTCTTTCATTGCTGCCAGCCTGATTGCTGCCAACTCGCGGCTTTCCTGTGACAATTCCAGCTCCAGCAAACGCGCTTCATCGTTGGTTTCTTCGCTGTACTTCGTGATTCGATAGGTCGGGGTCGTTGTCTCTATGGGAATTACTGCATCGGTGCCATATGTAAGGGCGAAAGGAGTTTCGCCCGTTGCCACTTTGTATGTGGTGCGGTGCGCCCATAGCACTGTGTTGAGCTCGTCAGTCCAATTACCTTTGGCGTCATTCAAGCGGGTGTGCAGGCCGTGCAGGATTGCTTTGTTGGGGGATTCCGCTTGGCCGTTGTCCTGGGGATAAGCTACCAATGCGAACCTTGCGATGGTTCCCACTTGGTCGCAGAAGTCTATCACTTCTGCGCAGTCAAACTGTTCCCATGATCAAAGATGAGCGCGTTCGGGACCCCGAAGCGCGACAAAATGTTGTTCTTTAGGAAGCGCGTCACCTGTTGTGCCGTTATCGAGGCTAGTGCTTCAGCTTCGATCCATTTGGTGAAGTAGTCTACGGCCACAATAATGTATTTGCGCTTCCCTTTTGCTGTTGGGAAGGGGCCCAAGAGATCTACTCCCCATTGCGCGAAAGGCCATGGACTCATGTTGGCTTGGAGCTCGGTGGATGGGAGGTGGTGCTGGCGCGCGTTGACTTGGCACTTGTGGCACTGGTCAGCGTATTTCTTCGTGTCCTTTTTTATTCGCGGCCAGTAGTATCCGTGCAGCTTGCGCTCCATGCTGCATGGGCCGGCGTGCATTACACACAACCCTTCATGTATGTCGCGCACCATGTCGCGCGCCTCTTCTTGTCCGATGCACTTTAGGTAGACACCCGAGAACGACCGCCGGTACAGTTCTCCTTCGATGAGTGTACATCGGGCCGCTTTTTGCCTCAAAGTCCATGCCTCTTTAGCGTCCTCCGGTATCGTACCTTCTTGTAGGTACCGCACAATTGGGGCTCTCCAGTCCTCATCGCTCATGAGTTGGGTGGTATAAATCGCCACTTCTTGGCGACTTTCCTCCTCTTCCTTCTGTACCGACACGAGACGAGTCGTCTCAAAGTCGGTGGCGGTCGCTAGCTTGGATAGCGCGTCAGCGTGCACGTTTTCCTCTCTCGGTATTTGCACATAAGTTACCGCCTCGAAGGTGGCTGCTCGCAGCTTGACACGCTCCATGTAATGCTCTAGGGTGTCTTCCTTTGCGTCAAAGGCTCCGTTCAATTGGTTGACTGCCAGCGAGGAGTCAGAAAGTACCCTTATTGTTCTTGCGCCCAACTCGTGGGCGGCAGTCATTCCTGCAAGGATGGCCTCGTACTCGGCCGCGTTATTCGTTTTCAACGCTCTGAATCTGATTGTTATCTCGTGAACGACGCCTGTTGGTGTGCGCACAACGACCCCCGCGCCAGCACCGTGTTTACTTGCCGCTCCGTCGACATAAACTTACCATACCCCCTCTGGTGTTGTTTCAAGGGTGACTCCTTCAGCGATGAAGTCTGCTAGGATTTGGGCTTTTATTGCTGGTCTCGGCGCATATTGGATATCGTACTCTGATAGTTCGACCGCCCATTTCACCATGCGCCCTGATACTTCCATCGAAGTTAGGATTTTCTTTAGTGGGAGGTTGGTAGGGGTGGCTACACGGTCCGGTCCGGTTAAATTGGCCCAAATTGATCAGGTCCAGTCCGGTCTTTTTGAAAATATAAGGACGGAAAATTGGATTGGATACAGTCCGGTCTTGATCCGGTCCGGTTTTGATCCGGTCCGGTCCCAATTCGGTCTTGATTTTACATTGAGATTGTGGGATTTGAGTGGCCTAAGGCCTTAAAGGGTGAGGAGTTGGTTAAGTTTTATACTAAGTGCAAAGGTTTGTGACCGTTTATGCAAATTACCCTTAAGTTTTGGGTGTTGAGCTCTCTTATCCGGTTTTTTACCTCAAATCTAAGCCCAAAGATTGGATTGGCTTGTTTACTATCCGGTCCCGGTCCGGGTTATACGATCCGGTTTCCGGTTTTTAATCCGGTCCCGGTCCAAATAGCCACCCCTAGAGGTTGGTCAGGACAGTGATCTGGTGCGCTTGGAAATAGGGACGCAACTTCTGCGACGCGCTCACTAATGCCAGGGCCGCTTTCTCTACTGGGGAGTATCTTGTTTCCGCGCTGACTAGCGTGCGTGAAGTATAATACACAGGTTGCTCGGTATTATCATTTCTTCTGGATATCAGAACTGCGCTCACAGCTCTCGTCGACACGGCTAGATACAGGAATAATTTTTCATTAAGCTTGGGAGCTGTCAACACAGGAGGGGATACAAGATATGCCTTCAGCTCTTGGAAGGCTGCTTCACACTCTTTGGTCCATGCAAACTTTGCGCCGCTTTTGAGTGTTTTAAAGAAGGGCGCGCACTTGTCGGCTGACCTTGGGATGAATCTCCCTAGCGCTGCTATTTTTCCATTCAGTGATCGGATTTCCAATGCGCTCCTTGGTGTCCGTAGTTGTTGGACCGCCGTGATTTGTTTTGGGTCAACTTCGATGCCGCGCTTGGTTATCATGAACCCTAAAAACTTCCCTGCTTCGACTCCAAAGACGCACTTCAGTGGGTTCAAGCGGAGGCTGTGTTTGCGGAGCGCCTCGAATGTCTCTCGCAGGTCCTCCAGATGCGAGTTGCCGGCCTTGGTCTTGACAATGAGGTCATCCACATACGCCTCGATGTTCCGCCCTCTCTGTTGTGAGAACACCGAATCGATCCTCCTTTGGTATGTCGCGCCCGCGTTATTCAGTCTGAACGGCATTCCAACGAAACAGAAGTTTCCGAAGAGAGTCATGAACGCCGTCTTTTCTTCGTCTTCCCGCGACATCGGGATTTGGTGGTATCCTGAGAACATGTCCAAGAAAGACAATGTCTCGTGGTCGGCAGTGGCGTCGATCAGTTGGTCAATGCGCGGCAAGGGGTAGGGGTCTCCCGGGCATACCTTGTTGATTGTTGTGTAGTCGACGCACATCCGCCAAGCCCCTGAAGACTTTTTCACCAGGACCACATTTGCCAACCACTTCGGGTATTTGACCGGGCGGATCAACCCTGCCGCCAACAGTCACGCCACCTCCTCTTCGATTGCCTTCAGTTTGTCGCCAGTAAAGCCGCGTCGCGCTTGTTGCCTCGGAGGCGCGCTGGGCGGGACTGCGAGGCAATGTTGAGCTACATGCCTTGGTACCCCCGGCATGTCTTCTGTGCACCAGGCGAATAGCTCCTTGTATTCCTTCAGTAGCGCTATCAGCGGCTCAATCGCGTCGTCGCGGACGTGAGTCGAGATGCGTATTTTCCTAGTCGGCTCGGTTGGGTCGAGCGCGACCTCGAAATCGGAATCCATTGATTCCGGACGGGGCTCATCTGGCCTTGTGTCGACAATGTTGGTTTGTCAAGCCTCTCCTTCTAGCTTTGGGGCTCCCCATGGTGTCCCGCGCGCCTCTCCGGTTCCCATCTTAGTGGGGAACTTAAGCTTCTGGTGGCATGTGGATGGAAGGGCCATGAATTTTGCTAGGAAGGGTCGGCCCAAGATGCCGTTGTGGGATGATTTGCAGTCGACTATTGTGAACTCGACTTGCTTTGAGACGCTTGGCTCTTGGTCTCCGATAACAAGAGGAAGAGTTACCACCCCAATTACTGGAACCCTCGTTCCAGAGAAGCCGACCAGGTTCCCTTGGGCGTGCTTGATTAAGCGTGGGTCGATGTCCATTTTGTCGATACTGCTTTGGAAGAGGATGTCTGCCGCGGCACCTCCGTCTATCAGTAGGCGGTGAATTTTGCAGGCGGCCACTAGGGAGGTGATGATGAGCGGGTCTTCAGACGGTATTCCTTGAGGTAATTCGGTGTCGTCGAAGCTTAGTTGGCCACCTGTTTGTGCATCCGCGGCTGCGAATTCGATCGCTCGTTCGCGCTTGGTTTTCTTTTTCGGGCGATCTCCTTCCACCGTCACCACCCCTATTTCTTTTCGCACTACATATGCTGCAGCGGCTTCGTTGCAGTCGGCTTGTGGGGGTGGTGGTGGGTTTTGGGGCCCCCCAACTTGTTCCTCTTTTTCGTGTGTGAACTCGCTCAGCAATCCTCGTCATATGAGGCCTTCTATTTCGTAGCGCAGTTCTCGGCAATCTTCCCTCCAGTGCCCCGTTGCTCTATGGAAGTCGCAATGCTTTTTTGGGTCCCGCATGTGGGGCAAGGACTTCAAAGGCGCGAGCCAATTGAGCTTGTATCCCTTCTCGCGGAGAACGTGGAACACGTTCTTCACGGAGTCATTGAGCGGTGTAAAGGCGTGGGGTGCGCGCCTGTATGGCGATCTTCCTCGCTGAGCTTGCTCTTGTGGGGGAGGGGGATGGCGCTTTTGCCCGCTGTGTAGTTGCGCTAACTGATCTCGCGGCAGCGTGATCTGCCGACGTCCCTGTTCCTCTCGTGGCAACTTGGCTGGCTCGAAGCGCCTAAGAGATCCCGCTCCGAGGGTTTCTTCCAGCGTAATTGCCTTCTCAATCTTCATTTCCAACTCCGTTGATAGAGTTACGGGCCTTTTTGCTAGCGCCCGCTTGAGTTCCATGTTGGTAGTGGCTTCCAAAAGGTGATGGGCGGCGGTTTCGGGGGTAAGGTCGCGCACTGCCATTGCCACCCTGGACCATCTGGCGTAAAATGATCGCAGGCTTTCCCCGTCCTTTTGCCTGAGGTCTACCAGCGCCTTGAGGTGGAGGGGCCTTCTTTTTTGGGATGCGAACTTCGTCGTGAATAGGAGTATGAACTCCTCAAATGAGCGGATGATCCCGTTCCGGAGCCTGTTATACCAGTCTAGGCATATCCCGGAGAATGTTGATGGGAAGGTTCGGCATAGTGCCGCGTTGGAGTTGGTTTGGAGCTGCATCCGCAGGCAGAAGGTGCTCACATGGTCTTCGGGATCAGTCGTCCCGTTGTATGTTGGGAGGGCGGGTGGCATTCCGCTCAGGTGTTCCGCCATGATTTCCGCGCTTAGCGGCTGGTGGAGCGCCCTCTTGGGTGGGTTGAGTCTGTATTGCGGAGACAGGTGTTGCTCCAAAAAACTGAGGTCTGCCCTTTCTGGCGGCTCAACTTGTTGCGTTTCGTACACGGGGTGCGGTGGTGGGACCGTCTCCGACGTTTCTCCTGGGGCTTGTTGGGGCGCGACTGGTGTCGCGCATACTGTGAGCTTGACTTGTTGCGTTTCGTGCGCGGGGTGCGGTGGTAGGGCAGTCCCCGACGCTTCTCCTGGGGCTTGTTGGGGCGCGGCAAGTATCGCGCCTGCTGTCGCCGCGGCCTCTTTGCTTATCATGAGCGCTATGACCTGGCTCATTTGTTTCTGCATGTTAGCTATGACGTCGTTCGGCTTCGCCATCAGCTGTCTCATTTCCTTGGTTGTGAGCTCGGGCTCTTCCTCTTCCAGGAGCACCGCGTTGAGATTGCTAGCTTCCGCGAATTCCCTTGGGTTGGTCACCGCTTTGATGGGGGTTGGTTCGTCAGGCGAGATGGAGTTATGCTCTGCCATAGGTCGATTTTCTTTGCTTCTCTACTTGGCCCCACGGTGGGCGCCAATTGTTTGAGCCTGAATGGGTGTAGGAGGGAGACTCGGGAAAATGGGTCAAGGAGAGTAAGCAATGAGGGAATAATCGTCGATGGAAGAACTGAGGAGATTACGAAGAGAATTGAGAGAGAAATATCTTAGAGAGAGAAGTCGATGATTTTAGAGATAGAGTCCGAAAAATCTGATCCCCTCACCCACCGGAGTAAATGCCATATTTATAGGCTACATGGTGGTGGGTGAGTGGTTGGGTTACATGTGGGTACAATGACATGACCACTGACATGCCAGGGATTTAGGCCATGCTTTTAGGACCCTGCTTTTAGGACCCTGATGTGACTACTCCTGACTTAGCCAGGACTATACCTAGGACTATGATGGTGACTACCCGTTGGATGACGCGGCGCCGCTTCTACGACTTCTCGATAAGGGTCCACGTCTGTCCAAAGCGTCGTCGTTTAGTGTTTGTGCGCGGCCTCCAGGGGTGGTCTTTACCCGCGCGCTTGACTCCGGCGTGAGTATCCTTGGGTGCTTCTTCAGTGTGGTGAGATCCGAGTCGCATGCCCAACAATTCTCATTCAATCCTCGCCCACGTTTCTATACATGGATGTTTTAACCTTAGCCAAAAGATTTTCTCTCTAAGCTAAGAATAAAAAAGACAAAATTTATCTGTATAGCCAAAACTTTGATGTTTGTGACAATAATAGCTACTTTTGGGGAAATACCAATAATTAGGGGTGGAAATTGGGGTGGGTGTGGTTACCCGCCCCACATTTTGCGGGTAACCACATCCAAAAATATAGAATTATACTACCCACAATCCGCCCCACAGTGGGTAGTGGTTAACCACTATCCACTGCGGGTTGGTGCGGGTTGGATGTGGATACCACAAAAAATTTCCTTCCTTCACCCTTTGGACTCGTATATGATAAACCTATCGGTCGAGTGACGACAAAAAAAAAACACATTGAGTTAAAACTAAGTATAGAAGCCCAAGACATGGAACGAGCGAAGATCCGATATTCAGAACCTCCTAAGTAGTCAACCTCCCTCTCATCAGTTCACTTCACTCGCTTACATGTCACTTCACTTTCTTTAGGAAATGCAGATTGATAACGAGTATAGATTGGAGGGGATCTAATCTTAATATACATAGCATCTTTATCAGCGACATGACTCCTTGCATTTTTAATTCGATTTTTTTTTGGATAAATGGAACACTCTCCCGAGTTGCGGAATTAGCGTATTCTTACACAAAAACAAAAACCTACATAAAAGAAAGTTAATCAATAAAGTGTTAAATAAACTATAAACCACATTTATCGTCTTTGTTTTGTTATAAAATAAACATATACCACACGTACAATACTTATTTAATAAAAGTATCACATACGAACATGGTGTATTGACTTAGTTTTATTTTATAAAATAAGTATATATTTGATTTTGGAGCCTACTTTAATTTGTAGCATTCTACTTTTCACTTACTTTAATATTACAAAGTATTATTAATAAATAAATATACCTAGTGTGGTTATTGTGGGTTTTGTGGGTTAACCGTTGTGGATAGTGGTTAACCACTAACCACAAAAATCAATATTTTGCTACCCACACTCAACCCACTATCCACAAATTGTGGGTATGGTTACCCACAACGTTTGCGGTTTGGTGCGGTTTGTGGATTACCCGCAATTCGCAAACCAAACTTCCACCCCTACCAATAATAGCCAGAATTTTGAAAAATTGATGACAATAATAGCCAGTTCCGTAACGAACTTTAACGGTGTTAGAAACTCCGTCAGTTAGATTAACGTTAGACTGACTAGGATGCCAAATCATCACACACGTCAGCGACAAGTCATCCATTTCATTGCCACATCATTTTGATTTATCTTTTAACAATTCCATGTGGATAAATAAATAAAAATTACCGAAAAAAATTGGATTTTTTTTTTCAAAAAGTCTTTCGTTTATATGGACTACAATTTTCTTATTTGTGAAAACTAAATAAAAAAATTGAATTAGTCTCTCTCTCCTTTCTCCTTCCCTTCATCTTCCTCTTCTCCTTCCTCTCTCCCCTCCCACAACCCGTCGCCGCCGACCCAATTTGACAACATTTGACAACAATAAAATCACCTCCCACACCCCTGAAATTATCCAACTACTCAGCTAAAATTCAAGTCTATTCTTCCTCTTCAAACCCCAAACAAACCCCAACACCAACCCCTGCACAATTGCCGCTGCACAAACTCACCAGAGGCATTCGCCGCCGAATACGAGGAACAAATTAATCGGTGCCGAATGTGAAGGAATATACGGTAACGATGGTGAGTCAAATTCATCACTCGAACTCCGCTGCTTCTCTGGATTGGATGGTAGTTATTGTCACGCCAACCACAGCGATTCCTGCCTCGGATCTGGATACGAGAAGGGATCGGAGACTAGAAGGGGAAGAGCTCATGGGTCAGTAAGAAGAACAAGAAACCTAGGACCCTTTCTTCTCTCTTCCACTTGGTGAGCGAAGCGAGCAGTGGAGGTCGGTTGGGAGGAATCGAAACGAATATCCCAGATTTGGAGGCGGATGCGAAGATACAAGATAGCGGTTTCAGGCGGTGGACGAGGATTAGAGGGAGGAGGAGGAGGAAGCGGCGGCGGCGGATTCTGGTCCTTCAATTCGGGTATTTGTAGGCGGTGGAGGTGGGGAGATGGCGAAGGGAAATCGGAACAGAGGGTCGCCAACGATGGAGGTGGGGAGAGGGCGGAACGGTAGGTTGGGAAGGAGAGAAGGTTTTTTGGTTTATTTATTTGATTTTATTTTCCATAAATCAAAAGACCATCCATTTGAAAATATAAAATTTTAATTATTGTTCTTTTATTTAATTTTTTATTATTAAATCCACGTGGGAAATATGTACGGGTCAAAAATTGCCACATCAGATGATCCGTTAGTCTAGTCAGCACGTTAACTAACACCGTCAAACAATTGGACGGAAGTGGCTATTTTTGGTATTTCACCAAACGTGGCTATATTTGGCAAAACCGTCAATGTTTTGGCTATACATGTGTATTTTGCCAATAAGAAACTACCCAAAGGTTTTTTTTTTTTTTTGCTTTTATGAAATTTTATCCTGAGAATTTCGTGCTAAGAAAAATACCAATACTATAGTGCCGCTACTGAAAGTGCGACACTAGTGCTACAATATTTAATTGGTCCACGTGGAAATTTATGTGACTTGATTATTTTTCTTCAAACCCAACCCAAAACCATCAGTGCTCAGGCTACGACTCATCAACCGAACCATTCACCTAGGAATAAATAAAACTGAATGCACCACATTTATTTACACTTCGCAATTCCTTTCCTCGTCCAACATTTTTGTTTTTTTCCTTGATCCCTTTAAATATCTTTTGATTGATGAGTGATTACTTATTTTTTGTTTTCTCCAGAAAATTAAACACAAGGACGAAAAATCCCCAAAAAACCTCATCTTCCTCCTCTTCTTTGGGATTCTCCAATGAAAATAATGTAGGCGAGCCCATCATCCCACTCGCTCTCCCTCAACGTTCCCTGACCAGTTCTTCTTCGACTTTCATCTTAGTCACAACAAATTAATACTACTCTAGCACAACCTGCAATTTCCTTTGTATTCAAATCTAGAATTTCGCAATTGATGATCAAAGGATCTTGAGTGATGATATTGCTAAATGAAAGGAGATTAGAGGAAGGAGATGAGATTGAGATGTAAACCGAAATTTCACCCGGTAGCTATGCATGCAAGGCGCGGTGACATCGTATGGAAGGGAAGCAGAATCGTCGGGCTCCATTAGAAAACTATTTTGTTTCGTTGTTATATGGCTGCGACCAATGTTGTCAAAGAGCCGATATAGGTAAGGCTATCCCCTCAGGATATAGAGGAGACAGAAGAGCAAATTCGTCGTGTGGGGGAATGATTGGAAAGGAGAAAGTGGGGGGTATTGGTTTGCTGCTAGCGGCAACGGTCTAACATTATCTTTTCCTTTACTTCTCAGATTATTTAACGAGTTGATGAACAAAGTAGCAATGTCGAACACAAATGAGAGGATTGTAAAATATTGAAAGCGTAAACAACGACGAGAAGAAGAAACGGATTTTACGTGGTTTTCCCGATGATCGGGCATAGTCCACGGGAGGGCTTGGCTCTCAAGCTGAAATCTTATTATGTTTTCTTAATGGTGGCCAACGGCCTACCATGGGTTTTATACCTTTAATCACAAGCAACTAGGGCATTACAATTGGGACAAGAAATCCTAGCACAAGCATGAGATGCAGTAGGTATCGTACAAGGATTACACGAGTTTGTTTAGGCCTTGTGTAGATGGGCCAAACCCATTACTCCGAACATGCAGTTTGGATAGAAGAAACTGGAAACGCTCTGCTCCAAGCCCTTTTTTGAACATGTCCACAAGTTGATTCTGCGAACTAATCTTCATGGGTGCAGTATCCCTCGACTGCACGGGCTCACGAACGAAATAGCAATTCATTTTCACATGTTTGGTGCGCTCATGGAAAACTAGATTGCTTGCAATATGGAGAGCTGCTTGATTATCGCATTACAGAGGCGTGGAACCACGCTGGGGTGCACCGAGCTCAAAGAGAAGCCTCCTTAACCAAAAGACTTCACTGACGGTGCTGGCCATGGACTGATACTCGGCCTCAGCAGACGAACGAGCAACCACTTGTTGCTTCTTGGTACACCAGGACACAGGTGCGCCACCAAGAGTGATGACAAAACCAGTAGTAGATCGCCTAGTGGACTGACAACCACCCCAATCTGCATCACAATAGGATACAAGATCAAGGTTACTAGTAGAAGGGGAAAAGAGACTCTCTCGTCATTGTTCTACTAGGTATGGTGGAAGCGGGAAGCCCTGTTCTCTCCGCATTCATTCCAATGAAATCTAGAGGAACACAAAATCAATCTATATGGGATGGTAGTGTTTGCTTACCTGGGTATGGTGCATGTCATTGTTAGTGTTGTGGTATATGATCCACGATTGAACCTCTCCCAACAACTCGAGTTATTGGGATCAACTGGTTCTTGACATGGTATCAGAGCCTACAGTCGAATCCTGATTTGTGGGAACTTGTTCGCCGCTGTTGTTCTTCGCACAAGCAGCTTTGTCTTTTGCTTTGCCAGTGTTGGTCTTCGCACACAGCTTGGTTCTGTTCGCTGCGGTTGGTAATTGCCCAGCTTGGTTATTATTGCACCTGTGGATTTAGCACCAGCAACTTTGTTTATTGTTGCTTCTCATTCGTGGGTCTTGGTAGCAGCTAGGTTTATTCAATTTGGTTTCTCCAGCCTGCTGCTTCTGGTCCGTGGGTATTGGTATTATTGCTGATTGGGTTTCTTCTCTCCGACCTGCTCTTTGCTTTCTGCGGGTCTTCTTTCTATCATCAGCTCAGGTTTGTTCTCGGCAGGGTTGTGATTTTTCTTGTGAACCTGCTTTGTTTGTCTTCACTATGGATTCCAGCCGTGTTGATACTTTGACGGCTAAGCTTGATGGCACAAATTTCCCCCTATGGGAATTTCAATTCCGAAGCTTTGTTGAAGGACGGCGTTTGCTGCGGATTTTGGATGGGACTCTTCCCAAACCTGCCGATAGCTCACCCGCCAAAGAGATTGAAGATTGGGCTGCTGGGAATGCCCAAGTAGTCTACTAGTTGTTGTCATCTGTTGATGTTGGGACACAATTGAGTTTACGACGGTTTTCATTAGCTTCTGAGATGTGGGTTCACCTTCGTACAACCTACTCACAAAACAATGCCGCCAGACAGTTTGAGCTCGAGATCGAGCTCTCCGCTTTTCATCAGGGTGATCGGGACGTACGCACCTACTATCAAGCTCTCATGACTCGCTGGACTGAGTACGACATGCTTACTGCCTCTCTTATGTCCTCGGCTGCTTCTAGTGAAGTTGTCAAGGAAAGGTCTCGCAGCCGCTTGATGCAGTTTCTTGCGAAGCTTCGTCCTGAGTTTGAACCTATCCGTGCCTCGCTTCTTCATCTCCAGGTGAGCACAGTGGATGAGGCACTTGCTGAGCTCATTCGTGAAGAGACGAGACTTCGTAGTCAAGCTAAATTGGATAGCTCTCATGAAAGTGGTGTGGGGTTTGCTACTGCCAAGTCTAGTTCTTCTAATGGAGGTTCGGCCTATGCTGTTGGGAAGGAATCTTCTCAACGTCCTCAGTTTCAGCAAAGCAATACAAGTCAGCTGGTTTGTCACTTTTGCAATGAGCCTGGCCACATTCAACCCCACTGTAAGCGCCGCAATCTTTGTATCTACTGCAAGCAGACTGGCCACATCATTATTGACTGCAAAGTTCTCGCCAAAAAGGGTGGATATCGTCCAAATCACAAGCCCTCCGGAGCTGGTTCCTCTGGTCCTGGGTATGCCGTGACTGCTTCTTCGGCTCCTTCTCCTGCCTCCTCTGCTACAGGTGCTGCACTTACTTCTGAGACTGTGCGTCGTATGATTTCTGATGCGCTGCAAGAAGCTATTCCTCAGCTCTTAAACTCTGCCTTTGCTACTGGGCATACCTCAGGTAAATCTCCTCGTTGGTTGGTTGACTCTGCAGCATTTAATCATATGACTAATTCTTCTCAGAGTTTTGTGTCTGTTAATCCGACTTCTATGCGCACTTTACAAGTTGCCAATGGGGCTCAATTGCCTGTTTCTGGTATTGGCACTACTCGTTCGGATAATATCAGTCTGGATAATACTTTATATGTACCTCAGTTAGTTCCGAGTTTGGTATCTGTTGGGCAGTTGGCAGAGGATGGGTGTGCAGTAACTTTTAATGATAACGGATGTATTGTGTAGGATCGGAAAACCGGGAAGGTTCTGGGAACGGGTAAAAAATATGCGCGTGTGTACGTTCTGGATCAGTTTCAGCGGGAGCCGTTGGAGGTTCAGGACGTGAAGTTGGAGAGTCAAGAAGCTGCTCGTTCTCCACATGCTGCCGCCGCCCATTCTTTTAGTCAGTTGAACAATGCTGTTACGTCAAAGTCTTTGGATCCTTCACAATTGTTTAGTTTTTCAGTTAAGGATTTGAATTCTGGGGGTTGTAACTCAGCACAGTCGGTTTCTTTATGGGATTTATGGCATTATCGGCTAGGCCATCCTCACACTGCTCGTTTATTGCACATATTTCGGCGTAATTTGTTTCCAGACTCCGTTGATTCGAAATTTCATCCATCTCATTCTTGCATTAGCTGTATTGAGGCTAAGGCTACCCAGTCTTCTTTTACAGCTAGTGAAACTCAGTATGATTCTCCTTTTGATCTTGTTCATACTGATCTCTGGGGGCCGTCTCCTGTAACTTCTCGCATGGGATTTCGCTATTTTGCTCTATTTTTTGATCATAAGACTCGGTATGCATGGATATATTTCTTACGACAGAAATCAGAACTTGTTGATCATGCTAAGTCATTTGTTCAGATGGTGGAAACTCAATTTGGTCGCAGGGTGAAGATTATCAGGTCTGATCCAGGAGGGGAGTTTATTGCTTCTCCCTTACTTGAATTTTATGCGGCTCGTGGTATTCTCCCTCAACAAAGCTGCCCTGGCGTTTCTCAACAAAACGGGCTTGTTGAGCGGAAACATCGACATGTCCTTGAATTGACTCGTGCGATTCTTTTTCACTCTCATGTTACAAATGGTTTCTGGGTAGAGGCAGTGGGAACAGTGGTGTATCTCATCAATCGCCATATTACTTCCGTCTTGGGTGATCGCTCGCCTTATCATTGCTTGTATTCCAAGCTTCCTGATTATTCTCGTCTCCGGGTGTTTGGCTGTGTCTGTTTTGTTCTTCTCTCGAAAAAGGCACGTCATAAGCTTTCTCCTAAAGTTGCTCGATGTGTTTTCATGGGCTATAGTTCTCAACATAAAGGCTATCTCTGTTATGATCCCGGTGAACGTCGAATGCGGATCTCATGTCATGTTACATTTCTGGAGAATGTTATGTATTATGAAGCTTCCTCCGAAAATGCTCTGCCTTCTCTTGATTTTCTTGTCCATCTGCAGCCATTCGACTCACCTACTGCTAGGGTTAATCCTCCTGTCCCGCCTCCAGGTGGTGAGAATGGTCCTCTTAATGTGGATGATACTAATCTTCATCACTCGCCGCCAGGTACTCCATCTGCCGCCCATGGTTTGATGTCCTCTTCTCCGGGTAGCTCTCTTCCTAGTGGTTCTTCTACGGCCAGCTTGTCGTCGACGACTTCCACTTCTTCCCCAGGCTCATCTTCCGTTGGGTCTGTTGCCGGCCAAGAACTTACTACTCCGCCACCTCTTCCTGTTCCACGACGCTCTAACCGCTCCACCATGGGTAATCCACCTATTCGTCTACTCGATTATGTTGGCTACTCTACTGATCAGGCTATTTCTATTCCCACTCATTATCGTTTTGCTAAAGACGATCCCCGATGGAATGCTGCCATGACCGAGGAGATCGATGCGTTAAACGTCTCAACATGTACAGCAGGCTATATATAGGTTTGCTAACACAAACCCTAACTACATATTTACATAATGGTACCCATTCTTAATATAATCAACACCCTCCCTCAAATTGATGTTGGGTTCTCAACATCAATTTGGAAGATAGATACCAATGTCTACTAGAGGAAACAGCCTTTGTCAGCAAATCAGTAGTCTCCTCCTCTGTCGCCAAATAACTCAACTGAACAATCCCTTCAGAAACTAGTTGACGAATGTAGTGCATATGAACCTCTATATGCTTAGTCCGATCATGCAAGACTGGATTGTTTGCAATCTCAATTGCACTAGTATTATCTCCACATATGCGCATAGATTGTTCACACTTCACACCTAGCTCCTGAAATAGCCGTTGTAACCAGACCATCTCAGAGCTCACTTCTGACATTGACCGATACTCAGCTTCTGTAGAGGATTTTGATACTTTATCCTGTTTTCGGCATCTCCATGACACAAATGACCTTCCAAAACGAACACACCAGCCATAAGTAGACCGTCTGGTATCAGAGCCTAAAACCTGTGAGGGAGATCCTCACCGTGGACTAGTGTCATATTTGACGATACCACGTTAAAAAACCTCGTGTATTCTTCTGATTTTGCTATGCTTTGATTAATTGACATGGTATCAGAGCCTTCTGTGACCGAAAGGTCTTGTGTTCGATTCCCGGTGACCCCCATTTGTTAAGCACATGGTATTCTTGTCTTCAGACCTGTGCAAAGTTCAAGCCCTTGTGAGTGGCTTTCGTTTGAGGGGGCGTGTTAGTGTTGTGGTATATGATCCACGATTGAACCTCTCCCAACAACTCGAGTTATTGTGATCAACTGGTTCTTGACAGTCATCGGCGAGACAGGGGTCTAGGTTGCAACCATCACCAACTTTTGCCATGGCGTCTCCCATGCCTTTCTACTCACTTGGGTCGCCGGGTGGGTTATCTCTCCTTTGCCCCCTCTAGACTGTTAAAATTTGATGTAAAGTCTAATTATTTAGAAACTCAATCCAATACAATCAATTTAGTCCAATGATTGCATTGAGTTATATTTTCTTGTGGGTGGATGCAGAGTCGTTTTCAACATGTTGGGTTGCCTTTTGGAGCCTGCAATCAGTGAGTTCTGAATTACAATCTGATGTCGTTGTGTTTGTTGGATGACGGTGGTGGCAGGAAAAAGTAATTCCGCGAAGGAGCTATGAGGCCTGGGGAGGAAGAGGGTGATGCTGAAGTCGCTCAATTCCCTCTCTTCCCTGCTTGATTTGTCCTCAAACCATAATCTGGGTTTGTGTCTGGAGAGTGGAGAAGATGAAGAAATGCAAGAAGTTTCTGGTATATTCAGTGTACTGATTTATAGCGGATTATTAACCGGATATAAGTTTATATACCGATAGCTGAATTTTCCTTACCCCATACCAATACTGCCAGTTAATGGTATAACCGATAAATGCCGAAAATCGGTTCAATAATCGGTTAAACCGTTAACCAGATAACCGGTTACCACCCCTAGATGGTACCATCCATTAAGAGGTTGGATGGTATCCATAATGTGGGATGCCACCATCCACTTTTAGTCTGGATGATCAAACTAGGATTGGACACATGATGACCAAGTATTGGATGGTCACCCAAGTAGTATTTCAAGAGGAAAAGTATTTTGGTGTAAACAGTTGTCATTTTCAACGATGACGTTGGAAATCCAGATCGGGAGAAGACTACAACGCTGGAAATCTGGATCGACAGCTCTCCTTTCTGCTTCTCTCCTCTGAAGGCTATCGATCTCTTCGAAAATGCTATGAATTTCTTGTTGAAGCAGATTGGAAGCAGCGGTGGCAACTCAGGAGGGGATAAGCGGCGGTGGAAGAAATCCCAATTCAGGGAAAAATCCCCAAAGCCTTGCCGTCGGTTGTAATTGGATTTTGTTTTTAGTTTTTTTATTTTGGTGTAAGGATTTTTAAATTTCACTATGCCTAATTACGAATTATTTTTTAGAAATTACTTTTAAATCAATAATACTTTTTAATTTGACATTGCACACACGTGGCATGACATGGCGGTTGAGAGTTGCGTGGCAGTTGAGGAGGCGCCACCTCAGCTTGCTATTGACTGTGGTTAATGCCATCTCTAACGTTGTTAATGTTTCTAACGAAAATGACTAAATATGTCAAACGAGTTTCAAAAGTGTGGCTATATATGTATATTTTTCAAAAATTGGTGATTATTGTCACAACTCACAAAGTGCAAATATATTGCTATCGAAGTGTTTTTTGTCCCTATATCCAGGAGTATTTTGTTTTCCTAGAATAAAACCACGAGAATTTGGATGCCAATGCCATAGATGATCACTTTTTCTCAAATAACTTGGTCTGTTTTGCGCACATTTAGACTCCTCCATATGTATGTCGATTCTCGTAGGTCTGCAAATCAGACTGCTCATATTATAATTGCCAGAAAGACAGAATACAACAAAGACAATCATTGGATCTCTGAACCCACTGGGATCTGTTCGAGAAAGCAGTTGGCCTCTGAGTTAAGTTAGAAAAAGGTTTTGGAATTTGACCGTTTCTTTCCGTTTCCTTGTGTCCTAAGGATTAATTAAGTTTGCAAAAAGGAAATTTCCCGGTTAAGAAATCAAAGGCGAAAATCTAAACACATACAATACACAAATAAGAAACGGTAAAGCAAGCGTGTTCGTAGCGCCGGGTCGGGTCCATCTTTTGGAAAATAAAGGATTAAGCTGGTGTCAATCAAATTACTCGTATTAACATCTGACCGATTACAATTAATTAATTAAACAGATTAATCTTAATCCCATAATCTGCGCCCCCACTAATCATCATAATCTCCACCCTCTTCAATCATCATTATATATCTACACCGCCCTTTCCTTCCCCGGCGATCAACCGATTTCCGCCCGCTTCCATCATAATTAAACTGACCAACCCAAAACAGCACCCAACAAACAAACAAAACACTCTCTCCTCTCCCATGGGTCGCCACCGCGGCCGGCTGAGAATCCTCGTCGGAATCGTGAAAGACAAGTCCTCCTTCCTCAAAGCCTTCCTCATCTCCCCTGCCAAACCCAAGCTCCGCCTCGCAATCCTCCGCGCCACCTCCCACGCCGCCGCCTCCCCTCCCTCCGACCGCTCGATCTCCGGCGTCCTCTCCCTCGGCGGCCACGGCTCCCGCCGCACCGCCGGCACCTGCATCGAGTCCCTCATGGACCGCCTCCACGCCACCAAGAGCGCCTACGTCGCAATCAAGTGCCTATTCACCGTCCACGCCGTGTTAACCAAGGGCTCCTTCATACTCAAAGACCAGCTCTCCGTCTACCCTGCCTCCGGCGGGAGGAATTCCCTCAATTTGTCGAAATTCCGCGACGGGTCCGACCCGGAGAGCTGGGAGCTCTCGTCGTGGGTCCGGTGGTACGCCGCCGTCATCGAGCAGAATCTCGCCGTCTCGAGAACCCTAGGTCGATTCCTCTCCGCCGCCGCCGCCGGCGGCGGGAAGGAGGAAGCCATTCTGGAGAAGCCGAACGGGGATTTGATAACCGAGGTCGAAATTCTGGTCGATTTCGCCCAATCAGTGTGCGAGGCTCCGAATTCGCTTCAATTGCAGAAGAACGATTTGGTTTACGAGGTGGTGAAATCGGTTGGGGAAGACTACAGGTTGGTCCAGCGGGAGATTCTAATTAGGGTTGGGGAATTTCGGGAGAGAAAACTGCGGAGCTTGAGCTTCGGCGAGTTGACTCGGCTGGTGGCGGAGTTGAGGAGGTTGGAGGGTTGCCGAGAGAGGCTGAGCTTGCTGTTTGTTATCGGGAAGAGGAACGATGCTCTGTGGGAGGCGGTGGCGGAGACTGTGAAGGAGATTTCGGAAGCGGTGATGGAGAAGGACGAGATGAAGAGGTTGGTGCCGGTGACGGCGGCGGTGAGATCAGTGAGGTGGATGCCAGCGGCGGCGAGGAACGGTTCGATCGAGTTGGGTCGTGTGGTGGAGGCGGCGAAGGTCGGAGGACACAACGGTGGCGGGTCGATTGATTGGTTGTGATGAGTTCCGAGTTGGACTCGGCCGGTTGATTTGGCTTTTTGAATTTCTTGGGAGGGATTTTCATTTTTGACAATTTGTTTTTTCATTTTTTTTTTTACCATAAAGATTAAAGAATGTGTTTTTTTATATGATATTAACAATTATTTGGGCTGCCTTTTCTAACGGGCCGGTAGTAAGTACCTTTTTTGTTTTTTTATTTTTGTCTGGGTTTTGTTGCTTTTGTTGTACACAGTGTAGTCACAAAGTGGGACTGTGGGAGTAGTGGGCCCACTTTAGGAATCCAAGATCAGAAATTAGTCCGTTGCTAAAGTCTGTTTGCTAGATTAGGGAACATATGTACTACCTCGTAATGATACTTACCCCTGGTTTTCTTTTTGATATAGTTATTCCAGAAAGAGCCGAAAATATAATAAATTATCTTCTTTTTAATAATCTATGTTAAAAACTATATATAAAGACAATGGCTAATCAGAGGGTTGATTTCTTATAAATTTTTTTTGTCACCATATAACTATTTCATTTTATACACTTAGCTTCTATCATGAACAGTAGGAATTAGGGGTGGGCATTCTGTCACCGAACTTCTTCTAAATAGAACCAAATCAATTATTAACAATTTATTATTGCAAAGTTTAATTAATAATCAACAATATGATTTTTCTAAATGATTAATTACGATGTGTGACAAAAACTAGGACATTTTTAGTCTTCCATCTTGAAATTTTGGCACTATTTTTTTGTCAATAGATCACTTGCATTACCAAGATGAAAGATAAAGTGTTTACAGGGCCGAAATTGCCCACGAATGAAAATCAAAACATGAAATACTCATAGTGCACAAAAAAAGGAGTTTTTTAGCCTCCAAATGAGCCATCCGCTTGTTCTGGCTACCTATAAATCAGATTGACACATCACTAAATTTCTACTTCCAACCTATAATCTCTTGCATAGTGTCCATCACTATACCGACGTGAATTTTACCGATGACCACCTGATCATCCCCCTGGAAAACAACCCTTTGTAGACCTTGTAAAGGGCACAACATATTGCATCCCAAAAGGCCACAATTTCCACCACGTACAGATCCACCAGTCCTACATATCAAGCCTCCTGCACAAAAAGAATAGAACCCGCCCTATCTTGAACAACCAAACCCCCTGCACCATGCGACGTTGTGCTCACCGCCCCATCCACAAAACAAACAACCTCATCCCCCAAACTTTTCTTCAATCCTCTAATGACATTAAGTCGTAATCAGGAGCTGACTCAGCACGAAGCAATCCCATCCATTCGTGGAGTTGGAGGGAGTGCTGCTTCAGAAGCACCAGATTAGTATATTGGATACACTCGAAGACAACCCTATTTATGGACTTCCAGATCCTCCATTTCAAAGAAACAAGCAGCTTAATGCGCATTGGAGAATCATCCTGCTCTACCAAAGGATAGAAGAACAAAGCAAAGTTTATTTCCAGCAATCTCTGTCGAAGTGGCAAGAGGTCGGATCCTGCCCAGAAACAAATGTTTCATTGTCTTCGAAATCCGAATGTTTCGAACACACTGGGTAGTGACCCGAAATGACACATCTTTTCTCTAGCAACGCCTCGGCAGTCGAAAGGATCCGACGCATCACTTGCCAAACAACGAATATGAGCTTTGGTGCAATCTGAAATCCCCAAAATCTCTTCCAAAACGACATATCAAACCAGGGAACTTCATATTTCCAAACTCCCTTCCACATGTTTAGACGCACAACCAAATGGTAACCTGACTTTATAGTATATATCCTAGAGTTATCCTTATGCTAAATCAGGAGGTCTGAAACAAGATCCCGAGGTAGAGGGATTTGCAAGACCGTGTGGACAAAATCCGAGGTACAGGGACATATCCCAAAGTTCTCCTTATTCAATTATTGTTGCTTATTTCTAATGTTAGTGTTGTTGGTTTTTTTGTCTATTGACCTTGCAGTTAGACAAAAGAATGTACAAGGGATAAACATGTGTAAGGCAGTTGCCAGACTTAGGCGTGGTGAAAAGTTGTCGATTGGCTTCTACAAAAATCAAGATATCAGGACAAATAGAGCAGCTTGGTCAAGCTTTATTGGATTGGTTGTTCGCCATCCCCATATTTGTTCCTTCAAATCAGGGAGATGGAGGTCCAAGGGTAGGACAAAATTTGAACACATGTGGGATGCACTCACAGTAAGGAGGAGCATGTGATTGTGACTTATGACGAGAAAAATGTCAAGTTATTAATCTAATTGTTTCTAGAGTGTTTAAAGACATTTAAGGTTGACGAGAACAATAATTGCATGAATATTCTACAATCCTAATATGATAGATTACAAGTATCATACTTTAATGCATATGCATGATCGTTAGAATAAATGGAGATCTGTCTTGTATCTTAAATATGCAAAGCATGTGGCAATAAAGAGGAAGCTATGAACATAAGCCAGATGGAGTAGGTTGCTGAGAAGATTGGGAGTTGTGTGTGAAGCATGTTTTTACACTAGTGAGTTTCAGGTTGTTACAGAATTTTCTCATATATACTTGTAACTAGTATGATTTAATAAAATGAGAGTAGTTCTAATGGGTTTTCCAGCAATGCAGAAACTGAGCAAGAACAATGCGGTGAATAGAATAAAGAACTCTATGAATCATCATAGTGGCAGCAAGCCTCATCGAGAACATTTTTATGAAATTGTAAGTTTCTGCTATTTTTTTGCTCATTATTGCAGTAGTAGAATTGTTGTTTTTTATATGGAATTGTTGTTTTCCTGGATGTACAGGCTGCCATGTAACTGATTATGAAGTGGAATTACTGTTGCCATTTTGCTTCCGTTATCAGCATAATTGTTTGTTCAGTTGTTACATATTTTGAAATGAAGTTGTTGCTGCCATGTGCTTTTGTTATTGATAGAGCTACTGGTTCACTAGTGACTGATTGTAGAATTCAAGGATTGATACTAGTTTGTGTGACTAATTTGATTAAGTCTTTATACATTGATTCATAGCCAAGTTGGTTCAGTTGTGGATGAAATCACAAAATTACTGTGAATGGAATTATTGTTGTTATGTGTTCAATTAAGTGATTATCGATTCATTAAAATCATGTTTATCGGGTGGAAAAGATGGTACTCCTCCAACTATAAATAAAGTGTTTTTTTAGACACACGAGCATAGGTGAAATAAAGGAACTAGTAACAAAAGAAATACATGTAATATGCGATTCTTTAAGTTTTGAGTATGTTCATATATATCTATTATCGGTTGTAATTATTGATTGTTTCATTTTCATAGGCTAGACTTGTTGAAATAGTTGCGGCTAATCCAAGTTGGAGCAAATAGAGTTGGTACAATAGTACTATGGAGAGCAAAGTAATGGACATACCATCAAATTTAGTGGCGGATTAAGGCATAAAGACTTTGAAGTGTTTAGAAGAATTAAGCAGGGCTGAATTGGCAAGGAAATTAAGACACTCTCATAGAGAGAAGGTAGACCAGAAAGCTTTAAAGTAGAGCACGCCAAAGTTATTTATGAAATGATAGAAAGGATGGTAAGATGGACCAAAGATCTGTTGGTGGTCCAATGACTAATCAAAACGATCACTCTTAAGTATGAAGACTTCACTCTTTTTCATCTCCAGTATTATATCAGTTCTGGTGGTTTTTGGGTTTATGGTGTAGTAAGAGTTGTAAACATTCATCCTATCCATTGTTTTGGTTTGTGTTTAAACACTGATTCTATCAATTCTTATGGTTCGTACAGGTATGGAAGATGCATGTTGCCTTATTTTATATACTTTTGGATGATAGCATGTAATAGTTAGAAATATCTAGAACAATTCTGACAACTAATGTGGTATGCAAAATATCTAAAACTATTTTGACTACCGATGGGGTATGTAAAATATCTAAAACTATTTTAATTAGTGATGTAGTATGTACTATTATAGATTAAGTTTCAAAATACCATAACTTTGCGCTAGTCACTAGCCCATGGATGTTTTTTTTCTCTTGTACGTAAATGAACTTTAAACGATTAAAACTTTGTGCTCGGTTATCTTATTGATTTTAAAAAATATTTCATATAACTTTTCGAGATCTATGCAGTCGCAAACCGCCGAAGGTAGTAACCTTTTTTGAAAAGAGGTAATTTAGTAGTCGAAATGGAGCGTTTTCTTTCGGTCAAACGTTGGAGAGTTGTAGTTTTCTACTCAGGAACTTGAATGCTGTAATATTTTCTTCCCTTGCAGAGGAGACAATTTTAAGAAAAAGAGCATTTTTATCTTCCTTATTGGAAAACACTTTTGTTGCGTCACAACTTAGACGTGATGCACATTGATAAATAATGTCATTAGAACAAGGGTTAATACACTAGTTTGGCCCGAAGTTTAACGTAAATGATAGTTTTGGCCTGAGTTTTCAAATAAGACAGTTATGGCCCGTTTTTGAAATTAATGGACAAATTTGGCTTGAAATCTATGTTGACCGTTAATATTAACGGTCAAACATTTATTCCGTTAGTAACTCATTATTTAGTGATGAGGTGGCAATGATGTGGCTTCCATATCATTTATTTATACTTAGAAAAATAAAAATTAAATTATAACAAATACAAACTAAAATAACCCGGCGTCCACTACCCCCACCTTTCGCCCAGAAACTTCATCTTCCCCCTGCAAATTCATCTTTCCCCATCGATGATACCTAGATACAAGGTGACCGGGGGGTATCCAAATTACGATGATGTTTTCAACGAGATCGAAGAAGGACATGATTGCCAAACAAGCGGCCAGGCTGTCCTTCAAAATTATGCTTATCTCCTCGCCTGCGTACTTCTCCCGGAGATATTTGATTTGGGGGTCGTCGGAGATTTACATCGTCAACCAACCCAGCATTACTTCCGGGTTGCTTCCCTCTTATTCCTTGCAAGTTCGGTTCCCCAGATCGATCTGTTTCAAGTCAGACAGCTCAAAGTCCCAGCCGCCAGCTTCCCACCGTTTCGAATTTTCCCTCTTCCCCTGTTTCAAATCGGTGACCGCCAATTGCTGGAGCCAACACGACCACCAATTCTTTCTCTCTCCTTCCAGCTCCCTCCCCGAGGAGTGAGGACTTGCGGTGAGGCGGCGACATGAGTATAGATCTGAACTCTGCCAGTAAGTTGTTGGGGGTTGTTGGTGAGTAAGTTGTTGGGGGTTGTTGGTGACGAAGATAGCGGCGGCCGACGAATTCCTCTTCCCTAGTTCGTTAGGGTAAGGTGTCTTCTCCTCTCTCGCCGGCGGCTTAACAGTCGATGGTCGTCGTTGAAGGAATGATAGTTTGCTTAGCTTGATTGGGGTTGGGTAGAGTTTGTCGAGAGAACTTGGGATGGGGGACTAGGTTCAAGGTGAAGGTGGGATGAGAGAAGAAGATAGGATTGTTATTTTTGTGGTTCACGATTTTTTTTATTTTTTTCATATTTATGTTTTATTGTTTTTATTCCTTAAATTTATTGTCAATTTTTTCCAGCATAGTGACGTGGAATTCATCTTATAGCACCTCATCACTAAATGTTGAGTTAGGGGTGGGCATCCGGTTCGGTAAACCCAAACCGAACCGGACCGAAACCGAACAACACTAATTCTGTTCGGAATTCGGAAGGCAAACCCCCACATTTCGGGAACCAGGGTATGCACGACCGAACCCGAATTCCGGCTAACCGACCGAACAACCGAAATATAAAAAGAGACCATAAACTAAACAAGCCCACTCACTTACATAGCCCAACTAGCTACCCAAAACCAACTAACTGCCAAGCCCAGCTCAGCCCAACCTCGCTAAACCCTAACTACCACTGGAATGCAGGCGATTCTCATCTCTCTCCGGCAGTCTCCACCAACGGCGCCGCTTCATCTATTATCTTCGTCCACCATAGAAAAACCAACAGCGAAAGAAACCAGGTCGGCGTCGTCTTTCTCTTCGCCACGAGTCCCATTTTTTCTCTCCGACCCATATCCCTCACTTCCCGTCAGGGCTTCAACCTCACAAAAAATCGAAAAAAGAAGCGAAAGTCAGAAATCAGATCTCAGGCGAAATCAGGTCTCCGAACTAACATGCAACCCTCACTCCTCAGGCGAAATCAGGTCACCGAACTAACATGCAACCCAAATAGAAACTAACCTTTGAATTTCCTCATAGTTGCTCTTGTTGTCTGTAACATCAGAACATAGGTCGAGGAAGATTGGCGACAGAGGGTTGCATTTCATCTTCTTTCCTTACCTTCTGTTCTGCTTTTTTTTTTCTCCCTCTACTTGTTGGCAATAGAAATTGGACAGTGGGTTGCATTTACTCTTCCTTCTCTTCTAATCTGCTTCTTTTCCTTTGCTTGTTGACAATAGAAATTGGCCGTAAGGCTAGTGGGGTTGGTTTTCATGGTGGCGGATGAGATGGGATAGGAAAGGAAGATAGAGAGCTAGATGGAGAAAAAGTGGAGAAGGGGAAAGATAAGAGAGAGAGTTGGAGTGGGAGAGAAAGAGAGAGACTCAGCGGAGATAAAATGGTATGTTGAATTTGGGGCCTATTTCCCAACAGCACAAATACACATAAATAACAAAGTACAGCAGACATTTTCGGTTTTAGCCAAAAACCCGAACCGAGCTGATTTATATTTCGGTTCGAACAAACCGAACCGAAATATAAATCGGTTCGAATTCGGTTTGCCATGAACCTGAAATCAGAACCCCTGGTATTGACCAATTCGGTTCGGTTCAAACCGAACCGACCGAATGCCCATCCCTATGCTGAGTCATGGATGAAAAAAATGGTTGATCGTCAATATTGACGGTCAACTTAAACGTCAGGCCAAATTTGTCAAATAATTTCAAAAGTAGGCCATAAAAGTCTTATTTGAAAAATGGGGCCAGAACTGTCACTTACGCTAAACTTCGGACCAAACTAGGGTATTAACCCTTAGAACAATCATGGATTTGAAGAAAAAGACCAAAGATACTATGAAATCCCGCCTTGACATAGAATAAACAAAATAGAGAGTAGAATTACATCCCAATCGAGAAAGAGGAAACTGGGATATATCGCGAGCAAAATACACATTGATGCGAGATGAAAAACGTAAAATTTGTCGCTTTTTGAAGAGCATAAAGGTTCCTAATGGCTTGTCATCAGATATTTCTCATTGGGTAAATCACTAGGGCTGGTGATCGGTCGGTCCGGTTACCGGTATACCGATTCATGGTAAGCGACGGCCGACTACCGATACCGGGTTACCGACTACACGGTTACCGGTTAATATCTCGGTATACCGTTCTGTTGGTTCTCCATGGAAGCCGGCGAGAGATTATTCGTCGCCGACTCCTTTCCTCCGGGGATCTCCGACGTCTAACTATCTCAGTCACCGCCACTTGATGTAAGCTGGTAAATCTGGGAATCGAGAGGGAGAGAGAGAGCCGCTGCTACAAGTCCCGCCGTCGAGATGCTTGGAGGCTAGAGAAGGAGCCACTGCGAGGGCGCTGCCATGGACGGAAGCACGAGATTGATTCGGTTGGAGGCTGGGGGTTTGATTCGAAGATCCGATCTTGCACGCAATCATCGAGATGCGGGAGAAATCAACTGTTTGGGTAAGACTTAAGAGTCGCCGCTGTCTATGAAGAAGATCCGGAAAAAATCAAGCTTGATATACGGTGGGGCTTCGAGCACTTAAGGAATTTGGGGAATCGGGGAGAAATCAAGCCTTGATATGCCGAAATAAAGCTTGATTTGCGGCGGGAATTCAAAAAGCCTTAGTTGGGGAAGAAGAGAGACAAATATGGTTAGTTGGGGAAGAAGATGTTGAACAAATTAAAATAGCTTTGATCTATGGTGGCCTGGTGGGGTTCGGCAGGCAAATAAGGTAGTTGAGGAAGAGAGAGAGAGAGAGAGATATGGGAAGAAAGAAGACGTGGAGAAGAAAAGGAAAGAATACGTCCTATGTGCGCTAGGGAACAGAAGTCAATATTGGGGGTGGATTCGGCTATTCGGTATATCGGGTAACCGCCGGTTATTAAACGGGTGGAACTCGGTGTAGCGATAACTAATTTTATGCTACCGTATACTGATACCGTCGGTTACCGGTTATACCGTTCACCGGAAAACCAAATACCACCCCTAGTTAAATGTAGATGAACATAATACTTTTGATTTAAAAAGCCATGATTGTCATGTTCTATTTCTAGAGATTGTGTTCGAAATCACTCATGATGCAAGAGTTGGAGAATCAAAGCTAAAATTCCAATGACTATATGTAAACTTGAGATGATCTTTCTTCCTGCATTTTTTATGTTATGTTGCATCTAGTTGTGCATTTGGTTGATAAAGCTATTGTTCGGCGGCCAGACCAATTTAGATGGATGTATCCTATAAAGCGGTACTTGAATGATCTGTAGTCAAATGTTTTCAAATAGAACGCACCCTAAGGCTTCCATTAGAGAATGCTACATTGCTTCGGAATGCATGACACTTTGCCCTAGACACTTGAGTGGTATTCAAACAAAGTTTAGTAGGGTGGACATGATTTATGTTGGAAATGATATGCAAGACTTTCTTGAATTCTCACAAGTCGGACGACTTGTGGGTAGCAATGCTAATGTTCACAGCCTTAGTTCACTAGAAGTAGAGCAAGCAGACATTTATGTGCCATCGGGACGAGGAAAGCATCGATCACCTTTTCGTCTCTTGCGTTTTTGCCTAGGAGGTATGAACACATCTTCAAAAGGGATGTACTACACTTCAAATACAAACCGACGACATTAATTTCGTGATAAGGAATTGGCCGTCACGAGCTCCGGAAAATATTGATCAATGGTTCATCTTCTATTGTTTACACGCCATGATGTGGATTGTTTGGAAATAACATAATCAACGTACTTTTAAGGACAAAGTACAGCCTTCGAGTCATTCCAGGCAAATCTCGAGGGCTGTTATCAATTGGTTGGTGGCATTTGGCAAAGTTGACAAGAGACAAGGCTATTGACTCGCTCTAACTACAACATCACAATCGACGACCAAGTATAACCGCCGACTGGGTGTAGCATAGGGAAAGCAAGAAATAATAATTTATCATACCATGGGGATCTAGGCCTATCCTACTTCAGGTTTAGGGTTCGTTATCTAGCCAACCTATGATGGTGATTAGAAGAATTAAACTAACTAACCTAGCTAACCACTCACCTAGCTATGTTCAAGGTTGGGAGCTCTATTGGGTTAAATCCCCCTATTTCCAACCTTCATTGATCGATGTTGAGTATCCTCCTAGCTCGATCGAAGCACTATCCCACCGTTAGGAGATGAACTCCCTCGGGACAGAACAGTGAAGTGATGGACGGGTGGTGCTCTATTCAACCCAGAACAACCCTATATCGTAGGAGCTCGATCCAATTGACTCCCTCGGGGATTACCCGGACGATATAGGGTGAGGAGTGACCCGAAGATGCCAAGAAAGGGGCTCTAAGGGAATTTTCTCACTCCTAGGTCAAAAGTTCAAAACATGAAAATGGAATCCAAACTCATGCCATTCATGAAAATCATCCATAACTTAGATAATAAACTCAATCAAATATGGATTTGTCACATACAACAACTCCCAATCAAAATCTAGACCTAGGGTTCTTAAACCCAAGAGAAGGGGTGAGTTTCAAGAGAGAGATTACGAATTGGAGCCCAATATCTTCTTCTTCTTCTAGGCTTGATTCCTTTCTTCCTAGATTGATCAATGTCTTCATTTAAGCTCCAAGATCACTCAAGAAATCACTCTCTCTAGAACTCCCCTTTGGTGTTTTGGGTCGAAACCCTAGAGAAAGAAACTAATTCCTCTCCAAAACCCAGCTCTCCTTTCTCTCTCCTCGCTGCTATCTTAAAATTTGCCCGACAGGGCCCAGTTCACGGTCGGGTGCTTCAGTTCATGGTCTTAGACAGTGAACTGACGACTTCATGGTGTGGGCTTTCAGTTCACGGTCTTAGAGACCGTGAACTGAAGCTAGGACCTGAAATGTACCAAAACAAGCACAATCTAGCGTAAAATAGGTCGAAGGACGGTGATCAACTAAGCATAACGGACAAGAAATGAGGGGTAAAATGTGTACCTTTGTACCCGAATCAACTCCCCCTCACTTGAACGTTTACTTATCCCCGGGCAAACCAAGTACAAAACAAGGTAAGCTTGCAACTTCTCTTTTCCACAAAAAGAAATCATAGTAACGTGGTCCCGGTCATCTACCATTATACCCACAACGATTGGCCATACTATTGCTAAAAATTCTATATATATTCTATTTCAAACGTCGAGCATATTGCATAACCTCTATTTGTCCTATTTACCTGGTTCTGCACGAAATGTAGACCCTTTTCTGATGAATAAAATGATTGAGGAGACCCTTGAGTTATAGTGCATATTTGCTTTCGTATTTTCTTGCCCACGTCTACTTTACTACAGCGAGTCCCCCTATTTCTTATGGTCTGACTTCCATCTATTCCGCCCAAGAGCATGCAAGACAAAATTTGCAAATCGCATTTTGGCTTAAGTCTTATATAGCAAGCACGCAGATTTTTTTCTTTTTTCAGTTCAGTATTTGACTATATTTTATTAGATAAATAGAAAAAACATGAAAAAAGCAAAAGCCTACACCACTGAACGTATGTTGTCGGCCTATATTATAGGATACAAGCTAGAGAGAGCAGAGAGCCTGTTGGGCTTTTGATGTTTGGTCTCCATGAACTACTGCTGGAAAACCTTCATCATGTCTGTAGTGAATGTTCTTGTGGGGTTGACCATTTCTGTACATGATTTCTGGCTTTCTCGGCCTACACAATAAAATATTGCAAGACAAGCCCATCAATTATCATCCTTACGAGTTTCCTCTTTAGATGACTTTATCAACCAGAGTAATTTTCACTGTTCAATTCGTTACAAGTTATAAACTACTTTATAACCAAATCAATTTTTTAAATGTAATTTAATGATTGTAATAGTTACTTAATTGACTTATTTGATCAGCAAATCTACACAATAATATTCATTTTAATATATTAAATGGTATTAGAGGGTAATACACGATATTCAATTTAAAACGAATGAAGTGCGATCTATTATTCTTATTCTGGCAAAGGAGGAAGAAATTGGAACAAATTTTGGTTACCTCTTTGTCCCAGTCGCATCTGATGGTGATAATGGCTAGAATCACCGTCTGAACCGCAGTCCCGCCAAAGATCATCCCTCCCCAAATCCCCTGTTTCATCAGAAAAATTTCACACACAACAATCGAAACATATCTAACAAGAGTATAAAAACGCAGACATATATTACACGTCAAAAACATAAATTAGCCAATTACTAGCCTGTAAGTATATCGTACCTCAACTCCCAATTTAAAAGTCCATCCCATAAGAATCCCAAGTGGTAAGCCAATCACGTAGTAGCATCCCAAGTTAATGTATGCAACCGTTGCTTGCCACCCCGATCCAACTGCCACTCCTGCAACCAATATCCCAACAAACCACAGTAGAAAAAAAAGGTAAAAGATAGAAGTTGTTTTTACTAGGGTAAATGTTTTTTTTTTTTATGATGAGTGACAGAAGGGTAAAAAGGGTGTACCGGAGAGAACTGGCTGGACGCTGTTGAGAAGAATGGTGACGGCGAGGAGCGGGGAGAGCGTATCAACTTGGGCGAGCACGTCGGCGCTGGATGTGAAGATCAAAGCGATCTTGTCCCGAAGAATCATTATCAGTACGCAGAACATTAGGCCGATCAGAGTTGATTGCACCACCGATACTGCCGTCGCGAACTTTGCGGCCTTCCCATTCCCAGCTCCCAGCTCGTTCGCCACCCTCACCCTGTGTGCATATGCCCACCGTACCATATATTAACATGAAAAATACGATGCATTCATGTGTCGAGCGTTTTTGGATTATTCGTATTAGTTCTTGTTTAGAATTATTATTAATTAACAGTATCTCTAATATGAAGTAGCCAGGTTAGTCTAGGATTAGGTGAATGTTTTACCAGGGGCGGACCTAGGGCTAGGGAAGGGGTGTCGTCTAACACCCTTCCACCCGAAAATTTTGTGATGGACCTCCATTTTTTCGATACAAATAATTTTAATTTGAGACTTCCGACACCGCTCTAATAATTATAAGCGACACACCTTCATAATACGACAATAGTTTTAATGTTATAAAGTTATTCATCATAATTAGTAATTAACAATAATAAGTAAATCAAATAAGCATGCTTGTTTTAAGTAACCCACAACCCAATTTAACTTGTCAATTTGTAGTTAGTAGGTGAATTGCATAGATTTATGGGAGATTGTATTTTGATTTTGGTTAATTTGGTAGAACTAGAGAAAAAATGCTAATGATATTAACTTTAATTTTAGACGTGAGTCGATCCTCTTTGGTTGAGTGATTAATTTATGAATTATTATGTAGTTGTGTATATCGAAAAATGTTTGATTAGCAACATAAGCGATGAATGTATTATTTAAAAATTTAGGATATGAAAGTTGTCATAATTCGTAGTAAACTTGATGTTGTCAACTTATAAATGAATTTCCAATAATTTCTATTAATTTTTTATTTTTAGTTAACTATTTTATTTATTATAATTTTTTATCGGCGACTCCCCTCTTCAATAATTCTGGGTCCGCCACTTATTTTACCTTATTAGAGGAGGTGAGAGGTTAGTTTACATCTATCAACATGTAATTTTGCTCTTAATTTATCATATGAAGAAGAATAAATCGGTTATTATTCTTAGTACTAGAAGTAGTAGGTTTATTCTTTTATAAGTATCTTATCAATATTAATTATCTTATCAATATTAGAGATAATTATTAGGATAAATCATTACTTGGTTGTTAAGTGTAGGATTATTTATAGGTTTTCAGCTCCTTTTCTATATAAGTGTATTTTGTTATTCGTTTAAGAATCAATAAGAAGAATATTACGAATAATCTCCTAAACCCTAATCTCCCTATCCTCTCAATTCTCAATCTCAATCCCTCTAAAGGTCTAAGCCGATTCTTCTCCTGTTCTTCCCCAAATCCTTCCTTCAATTCCACATCTACTCTAAATCCCTAAATTCATACCAATTTCCAATCTCATCAATCCGACCGATAGAACTCTAGAAATATGTTTTATCCTCTAGTATCAGAGCCTGATTTCAAGAACGAGTTCGTCACAACTCTCAACCAAGGAAGACTGCATATCATTCCAAATCCATAATGAGCTCGTCACATCACTTCGATTCAGAGTGGTTGCGGCTACAAAAGTTATTGCGGAAGACCTTAGACCGTTGGAACCAAAAGAAACGGACGAGGGCAGTGACGGTGGAGGAAACCGCAGATGTTGGGGCGGTGGAGGATTCTGCAGACCTCATATGTCTAATTATAATTATAAAGTATTGGTTTTGATTGTAAATTTAAAATAATAATAAATTATTGCATTAAATTTTGATTACGGGTCTAAAATAATAATTTTAAAATTTTAAACCAAAATGCTGAAGAAATGGATGGATAACATGATAGGATGACTAATTTTTTTAATTAGAAAATTTGCAAACCATATAAAATAGTTCATTATTTGTCATGTATTTTTTAGAGAGAACAAGAGAGGAGATATTATTGAGGCCTCATTATATGATTATTGGATTAGTCCTTTAAACACTTCAAAGAGATCATGCTCTATGGAGATCTGGATACTTTACCTTATGAAGATGTAAAATCTAACTTACCGTCGAAAGAAAAAGTTGACTTTGTATCCAAATCTAATGACAAAGGTGAAGGTTTATTTGAGAGAGGCAGATCCAAGGGAAAAGGAGAATCAAGCAAAGGTAAAGGTAAAGCTCAATCCAAGTCATGTGGTCGAAAATATGAGAATGAGAAGTACTTTCGTTATTACCGCAAAACTGGACATGAAATTTCTGATTGTTTTAAATTAAAGCCCAAAGAAGAAAAGAAAAGGCAATCTTAAAAGGCATCTGAAGCCGAAGAAGCTAGTATCGTCAATGAAGATTCAAATGGTGAAGGTTTGGCAATTATTTCTTCTTATGATGGCAATCAGATGTTTGGGTCCTTGATTCTGCATGCACTTTTCATATTTGTCCCAATAAGAACTGGTTCAAAACCCTTAACCTATTAATTTTGGTGTTGTGCTAATGGGAAATGATGATCCATGCAAAGTTATTGGTATTGGTACAATTGAAATGCATCTTCATGATGCGGTTGTCAGAACTCTTTCTGATGTTCGGTATGTTCCTGACATCAAGCACAATCTTATTTCTTTAGGCACCCTCGAGTCTCTTGGGTGCAGATATGGAACTGAAGAGGGAGTTCTTAAGGTGTCTAGAGGTTCTCTTGTTTTGATGAAAGCTAACCGCATTGGTTCTGTTCTTACAGGCTCTGTAGATATTTCTACCTCGTTGCTTGATTCACATAATACTCAATTATGGCATATGCGGCTAGTACATATGGGTGATAAGCCAATTACCGTTCTAAGTAAGAGAGGATTATTGGGAAACCAAATTTTTGGGAAACTCGACTTTTATGAACATTGTATATTTGGAAAGAAGAAAAAGGTTAGTTTCAATGTTGCTTCCTCCAAGGGGGTGCTTGATTATATTTACTCATATTTATGGGGACCCTGCTAAATTTCCTACTGTAGGAGGTCATAGATATATGATGACAATAATTGATAATTTCTCTCGTAAAGTTTGGGTTATTTCTTAAGGCACAAAAATAAAGCTTTCTGAGCATTTACAAAGTGGAAAGTGATGGTTGAAACTCGATCAGGAAGGAAAGTTAAGAAACTTTGAACTCACAATGGCTTGGAATTATGTGAAAACGACTTTAATGAATTTTGATCCTCACATGTAATTGGAAGACACAAAACTCTATTTAAAACACCTAAGCAAAATGGCGTTGTCGAAAGACTTAACAGAACAATTCTGGAAAGAACTCGGTGTATGATATCAAATGCAAAACTCTATTTAAAACACCTAAGCAAAATGGCGTTGTCGAAAGACTTAACAGAACAATTCTGTAAAGAACTCGGTGGATGATATCAAATGCAGGCTTATGGCATAGACGTTATTTAGTGGCGGTAGCTGCGGCCACGACTTGTTATTTAATCAACCATTCTCCACATAAGTCATTGGATTATAAAATTACAGAAGAAATTTGGACAGGTAAACCTGTTGATTATTCCAAATTGAGAATATTTGGTTGCACATCATATTATCACATTAATTAGGGGTGTTCAAACGGATTGGTTACCGTGGTAACCATATTAACCGGTAGCATTCGGTTAATTTGGTTTGGTTAATTTGGATAATTGGTTTGGTTTGGTTATACAATTTAGCTCATTTGGTTTAGGTGGTTTGGTTTGGTTTCAACACTGCTAACCATTGAAACCAATTAACCAATTAATGATACACCTAATATACAAAATTATTTATACTTTCATGCAACTAACCAAACCAAACTTTCATGATTCTCTATTTTATTTCCATGTGTACAACAAACCAAAACATTATGGATAAAAAATTAAATGGGTCTGCCTATATTACTAAACTAAAACATTTTGGACAACTACTAGAATATAAGATTACGTACAATACCATGACAATCACCTCAAACTATGTATAGTTTAAGTGTTTTGTAGGAGAGCTTTAACTTCCTGATGAGGGGTATTGGTATGTATTTATGTTAAGGGGTTTGTTGTAAGCTACCTATATTAGCTGCAGAGATGATGAATGATGTATTAACTCGAATGATGAAGATAATTATGGATGGTTAGTCTTATTATTATTGTTTATATAAAATGATAGTTTATGTTTGTTTTCATGTAATGTTATGTTATTTGGTTAATCCGATTATCTGATTAACCAAACCAATTAAACTTTGGTTTGGTTAATTTGGTTTTCTTGTTAATTTGAACGGTTTGGTTAAGACATTTTATTCCATGGTTAATGAAATTTAGGCTTAATTGGTTTGGTTATTACCACGGTAACCATTTGAACACCCCTAACATCAATGAGGGTAATCTGACTAATCTCTCTCTTACAACTAAAAAGTGTTTATCTATGGGATATTTTATGGAGTCAAAAGGCTATCATTTTTGGTGTATTGAATCTCAATAGGCTATTCAAAGCATAGATGTTACATTCAATGAAGATGTCTTACTTTCTGCCAAAAGATGGTACTTCTTCATCCCATGATATAGGAAATTTCGAGACTCTATGAGACAAGGTGGAGTTCGAGCAACAAGTTGATTCACCTAATTCTCTATCTTCTCCAAAATCAAATCCTAGTGAAGTTCAAAATGAAGAAATTTCACCTCAAGTGCCACAAGATTATATCTTGGCTCGAGATTGGCCAAGGAGAGTTATACAAAAAACTACTCGATACAGAGATGATGATCTTTTTGCATATGCTCTCGTCGTTGTACAAGAAATTTCACAAGAACTTGGGCCTTGTTCCTACAAAGAAACTATATCTTGTGTAGATTCATCCAAATGGCTTACGACAATGAATGAAGAAAACGAAGTTTGTTGAAGAATAAAATATGAGAATTATGTAACCTGCCTACAGGGAAGAAATCATTTTCAAATACTGGATATACAAAAAGAAAGAAGGAAATCCCGGTATTGAAGAGGCAAGATGGAATGCGTGGTTGGTTGTTCGCGACTGCATCCAACGTGAAGATATTGATTTCGATAAAATCTTTGTTCCTATTGTGCGTCACAATTCCATTAGAATTTTCCTCTCTTTTGTTGCTCTTTTTGATTTGGAGTTAGAGCAACTTGATGTGAACACTGCTTTCCTTCATGGTGATCTTGAGGAGGAGATATACATGAAGCAACCAGAAGGTTTTGTGATTCCAAGAAAGGATCATATAGTTTGTCGCTTTAGAAAATTGTTATACGGTCTCAAGCAAGCTCCTAGACAATGGTATAACCGTTTTAATGCTTTCATGATAGAAAATGATTATACACACAGGTAATTTGATAATTGTGTATATTTCCAAAAATTTCCCGATGGCTCCTACATATATCTACTTCTTTATGTTGATGACATGCTTAATGCTTCAAAAAACAAAATGTTGGTCAATAGGTTAAAGTCACAACTAAAAGGAGAATTTGAGATGAAGAACCTTGGAACAATAAACAGGATTTTGGTTATGGAGATCCACAAGATTGACAAGCTGATAAATTATTTTTTAACCAAAGAAAGTACGTTAATATGTTACTTGAAAGGTTCGAAATGATTTATTGTAAGCCCACTTCTACTACACTCGCTGGTCATTTCAAGTTATATGATGCTTACTGTCGAACAACGAAAGAAGAAGTGGATTATATGTCTAGTGATTTGTCTTTGTCTGCTGACGTTGAATGTATAGGATTGCTTGACAGTATACACAGCTGAATATAGAATACAGGAGTAGCAGCCAGTAGACTTAAGTGGGATTCCAACAATAATACAAGAGTGCAGATGTATAGGATTCCAACAATATTATAGGCTTCACAGATTTTGATTTTGCAGGTGACTTAGATAAACGAAAGTCACTTTCCGAATATGTTGTTACTCTCTATAATTCGTGTTAGCTGAAAATCTTGCTTGCAAATCGTAACTGCTTTGTCAACTATAGAAGTAGAGTATGTTGCTATGTTTGAAGGGGTTAAAGAGGGTATTTGGTTACGAGGCCTAGTTCTTGAGCTTGGAGTTGAGCAATATATAACAACAATATGTTTAGACAGTCAAAGTGCCATTCACTTGACTAAAAATGACATGTATCATGGGAAGACCAAACATATAGAATTCAATTACCACTTTGTATGGGAAGACCAAACATATAGAAGTCAATTACCACTTTGTACGAGATGTTATGGCTGCAGGTGATATTAGTGTGAAGAAAGTTCATACTTAGAACAATCTTGCATGTATGCTCACAAAAGTTCTTCCTTCAACTAAGTTTGATTGTTATTTGCACTTAATTGGATTTCGAAGAGCTTGATTACCTCGCAGAGGTTTCTGGACAAGTCTTTCACCAATTTGATTCAAAGTGAAGATTGATGGTATTGATGCCTCAAATAAATTCCAACACTTGGAGTTATGGAAATTACCAGATTGAGTTAATTATGTGAGTGGTTTCACTTGGATTTATGAGAGTGTCGTTTACAATTCTATTGGCATCTCATAAGCCATTTCACAAGGCTATAAATTAGGAGTCTTTTGTTGTTAAAGACACCACTTCTTCCCAACTCTTTTATTCTCCTAAATTGTAAAACATCTTCGTGAGTGCGTTTTCATTTATATTGGGAGTTTTCTACTTAGTCCACAATATAACTTTGTACTTTGAAGATTATTCCTTGAGCATAGTGAATTTACTGTCTTGTCCGGCCCGTGGGTTTTCTCCCTCTGCTTTGGAGGGTTTTCCACGTAAATTTGGTGTCTTGTGTTTGTTTATTCTATTTTCTATTTTTCTTGTTCGGTTTCATATTGGGTTTGCTTCCGATAGTGCTCAAATATCCAGTTTCAAAAAGCCTTGAAATGCCAATTGGTTCTACGGATGTCTTGAAATGCAATTGGAAGTATCACAAACGTAAACAACATCGTCACACGTTCATTGTCATCAACCTCAATTGGGAAATATTCTTCTTCATTGATCCTGATCGAGACGTCACTTAAACTTTGAAGGACAAAGTTCTTCGAAGAAGGGATGCTTAATGTATTCATGCATCGATCAGCCAATGTTGCTACTTTTATCGTCGTTGTTTAGAGTCTTGGTATTAAATGTACTTTGGATTATTATGGGTATTCATTTGTTTGTGGTTATTTGCATTAGTTGTTGCTTAGGATTATTACTAATCAACACTTTCTCAGGTAGGAAGTAGCCAAGTTGCTCTAGGACTAGGAGAAGAAGCAAGATAATTGATCAAAGTTTGGCCTTGAGAAATGGTGAACAGAACAACGTCACATCCAAAACCTCGGCAACCAAATTAGATGGGCTTGCCGATGGTGTTGTCGCCTTCATATATTTATCACATGTTCAACCTCATGAATCAAATTAAATGGGGTTGGCCTATATATTGTCGCCTTCATATATTTATTATCACCCACAGTGCAAATCAAGTAATTCATAGTACTAGCTAGGGTGGTGGTGGGCGATCAATTTTTCTTGCCCAATAACATGGCTTACAAACTGTAATGGAAACTACCACCACCTCTCAATCGCATTAAAATGGGGACATTTTTGTGGTTGTATTTAATGTTTCTCTCATGATATCTCTCGGGGAAAAGAGTGTTTTTAACCATTTTGTTAAGGCCGGTAGGCTTTCCTTTTTGGTTTATACGTCTTAGAGGTACCTATATTTTTCATATGTTATATAATTTCATATCTAATTTTAAATATTTAATGAAAATTATTGTTCTGAAACTATATTTTGGTACTTAATTTTATTTTTAATAATGAGATTTTGGAACCTTTATAATGATCCAAAATTTAGATTGCTTATGAATTCTTGAATTCAATCCAAGAATCCACGAATCCGATCTAAAAATCTACAGATCCATTTAATCTACGATGTAAATTAATAAATTAATAATAAACACAAATGTTATGGAAATTGAAAAAAAAAAAAAAGAACATGCATGTGTACGTACCCGGTGGCTGCGAAGAACGCCAGCGGGATCATGATCTCAAATCCATTGATGCTCATGCTGCATGCGCCAAATAACAATGCAACCAAGTTAGCATTGACTTTATATAGCAAATTATCTAATAATAAATGGAGTTCTGACTCAAATTATCGTGAAAACATTCTAAGTATAAATACCTAGGAAGTAATTTACACAAGTACATGTGTGATTATGACTAGCATATTTCGACAAGTTGTCCAATCGAATCCAGTGCAGCACCTAATTTGTACCACCACAAAGAAATCGAGTGTTCATCATGTAAAGCCATACACTAGCCACCAAAAGACGAATCCTATACTGTCAAATCGACAAGCCGAAGTGTCGACAAGTCTGGATAGATAGAGGAAAGGCGGTCACGTCTTAGCTTTTTCATAAAGGGAGAAGAAGCACTCACAAATACGACTCTTTTATTTGGTCCAAAGGTGACAGACAAACTATTATCGGACTCATGTGATGTTTTACAAGTGGGGGGAAAAGAAAGACAGAATCTCATCCTCTCATCTCTACAGAGAATATCATGATTGAACTGAATTCGACATCCCAATATACAAAAATACAAGAGAGCAGCAGAAGAAAGAAACCCCAACCATCTTCCAGAATATCCCCCACACCATCTTCCGATGCAGAAAAAGAGTTAGAATGCAATCAGAGTGGTTTAGTCGGGAATTCGAACGAGAGACTGATTTGAATGGTGATAATCGGGATATGGAGAGCTAAAATTTTACTTATTGCTAGGGCTGGGATGCAACCGAAAACCAAACCAAGCATACCCGAAAATCATGACGAAATTCGTGTTGTTTGAAACCCAAACCCGAATCCGATAAGGGAAGTTTCCAGTACCAAAACTCGAAAATTAAACTCCATAAGTTGACCAGCAAGACTTGTTACCTTAACGTCTATATATATCCACGGGATCAGCAAGTATTATGATGATTAATCTAGGTAATTATTAATTTGATTAATTTTAATCTAATTTTGATAAATTAATCTGCTTATAAGCGAGATCCATGGGATAATCAACTGGGACTGTGGGAGTAATAAAAACAAAACGAAAAAAGCAAGTGGGAGCTAGTAATTAAGTAGATCGAGTAATATAACCACTAACAACGTGTTTATAGCAGTCAACCCGTTGGGTCTTGAGCAGTCATTAGCAGTGTGATTTAACTGCTAACCCTTTTCCCCATACGTGATTAATATAGTAATTAAAGACTATATGATTTCGAAACGTCACAATAGGAGCCCTGGATTGAAAACCGTTACAGAACTTTTCGGGTTGGAACCGAAAACCCGAAACCGAAACACCCATCCCTACTGACTGCTGTATTTCTTAAATTTGTTACAAATTTTACATTGTAATTTTGTCTATATTTGTTTTCGATTTGCTAAGGGTGCTGTAGTAGCCCTTCCTGGTTTCAACCAAACAAACTCCTCCGGTGAATGAAACAACTAATCGAGTCCAAAGCCTGATTCTACGTAAAAGCATTCTGGTAATCTAAAAGCGTAAAATTTAAGCCAGTTAAAAAAAGCACGAATCTACATAAAAACATTTTTGATAATCTAAAAACATAAAAGTTACTTATAAAACATTAAAACGCGATTTTGAATATACCACCAATAACATACTCATCAATCAATCAATTGAACCAATTATTTAGAACCTTGTTACGTACCAGACAGAAAGAGCATCCACCGCCACCGTCGCATTCTGCAAGTATCCCGTCATCAATATCAAAACCCTGTAGTACCAATTCTCCAAACTGCACCAACCAAACCACCACCGTCACACACAAAAAAACAACAACACACGAACGTAAAATTGTAGCAGTAAATTACGGTTTCACTCCTTACCACAACATCACCCCAGCGGCAGCCGACAGCTTCAGAAACTCCCCGAGCCCGGAAAACGCCTGGACCGAGAACCCCGTCCACGTCAGCGGACACCCACCGCGCATCGCGTACCACGTCATCCCGGCCACCAGGACCCACCACGACACGTCGAGCGCCACCGCGGCGCCCACCACCCCGAAGCCCCACACGTAGACGAACAGCCAGCTGGTCAGGACGTTGACCAGCAGCGCCACGAGGGCGACCCAGGCGACGACGTGGTTCTTGAGCTGGCACTGGAGGAACCGCTGGAGCGGGAACTGGAACGCGAAGCTGAAGTGGAGCGGGATGAGCCAGAGTGCCACCTGGCCCGAGAGCTCCGCCACGTCATCCGGCTGGCCCAGGAGCTTGAGGACCGGAGTGGCGAAGGCGTAGAGAGGGAGGAGGAGGAAGCAGCAGCAGAAGAGGACGATCCATGAGCGCTGCATGTAGATTCCTAGCATGTGGTAGCGCTTGGCGCCGTAGGCTTGCCCGCACAGCGTCTCCAACGCGCTCGCCATACCCAACTTTGAAATTGTACCATAACGTATTATTATTGTACCGTCAATTTGTATCTCAAAACATCAATATACTTTAGAGCATAATAAAAAAGCTCTGTACAATATTCCCCGTCTTCCGTCATAGTTATTATTAAATGTAGTTTTAATGTATTTGGATGAATCATACTCGTCGGTTATATATATTTTTTTTATTGATCTTATTAGTTCACTGATTAGAGGGTTTTTTTTTATTACCTAGAAACCTTAGCCCCACGTGCCAGTTTGTGACAGCGGGTCCTACTAAATCTGGAGGGCCACCTACAATCAAATTCGACGCCAACGGGGGCTTCGCCCCGAGCAGCCTTCGGGAACACCAATGGGTCTCGCTGGAATTCGAATCCGAAATCTACAACTCCCAAACCCTTCACTGTCGCACGCAACAGATTTACTCTTAGAGTATCAAAGGTTTGGTAGCACGTGGTCTACATGGTAAAATCCATTGGAAGTAGCACGATAGTTTCAACGGTTATGTAATCTCAATGGTTAAACACCTTAAATTATGGTGCAGAACCCAAAGATGTTGAGTTTGAATGCTGTTAAAGATTATTTCATATTTCAACGAAAAAAAAAGAAGATTATTTCATATGTTTGGTTATTTCTTAACGGCTATGACATGAAAATAAGATTCTCATTAATGCATAAAAAAAATTGAGCAAATTTGAAACCAATTTTAGTATGATTTGAGAAAGTGGTTAAAATAATGAAGGAGGGAGGTGGGGGCCTACGTACAAGGAGGCCGAAGTTGAAGCCGACGATGACGGTGTTGGCGATGGAGATGGCGGCGAGCTCGACGTCGCCGAGGTGGCCGGCGAAGGCTTGGGTGATGATGTTCATGGCGAAGGAGGCCAGCCTGCTGAAGATGGCCGGCCCCACGATCTGCCATAGCTTCTGGGTTTCGATCCATAGTTTCGACGTCACACTCCGGTCGTCGTCGAGGCGGTGATTATGGGAATCGTGTTTGTCGGCGGCAACGGCTGCACCGGCGTGGGGTAAGAGGGGCCGGCGGAGATTTTGATCTTCATTATCTCGGTTATTATTGTTTCTCATGATACTGGCAAATAAGAAACAATAGGAAGGGAGAGGAAATCAGTTCCAATTTTATCGGCTTTTGTGATGATGGGATAAATGGGAAGGAAATGGAAGAGAGGGAAAAAGAGGCTTCGAGAGAGACGGAGAGAAGATAGTGCGCTTTGTTTTTTGGTGATAAAACTCACGATGTGGGTTTGGGAATTGTGGTAAATATAGACGTCATAATTTAAATGACATATATAATAACAATAATGATGATGAATGGGTGATGTAATGATGATATATATTTGTGGGAAGGGAGCATAGCTAGCTGGAGGTTAGAAAATAGAAACTCTGCATTTACTGACCCCAACCAGAATCGGTATTATAATTATGAATTTTTCCGTTTATATGTAGATTCTTCTTTTCTTTCGCAATATATATTTTGTATTTGTATTAACTTACTTTCGTTTTCTAATATAGATTTTTTTTTCTCTCCAAAATATGGAAAATAATATGATACAAAATCTAATTTGGATTTAAACTAGTTTCCAATAATAAAAAAATTCAAAAGGGACGGATTGATAATATTTTAACTCTTCAAAACACTTATTGTTGCTGTAACTATCATATCATCATCATATCATCATGATATATATGACAGTGATATGATGACACATCTCCTTCGTTGTAACTCAATATGTAAACAAATTGTCTAGAAAGAACGTGTTAATTAAGTTCTACACAATTATATTAAATTTGTTATGTTTTATCAAATATAAAACCTCATACCAGCATCATATCACTATCATGCCAATATTATATCACTATCATACTAATATTATATCAGTGCTATCATATCATACCACTACGTGGTAAGATAGAGTAAAATATTTTTCTCCGAAAATATCAAAATAGATATCATATTGTAGAGCACAAAGGATATGATTTTTCTATGCAATTTTTTTCGTTGAAATTCTATGTAAACTAAATCGAATCAGATAAGGTCCATTGAATTTTTGTATGAGATTTGAAAAGTGATTTAACATCAGCTTGAAAATCTGTGCCAGCCCCGAAAATCCCGTTCAGTTGACCAAAAAATCAGGTCAACCCTCTTCCCAAACTTCCATGTTCCTCCTTACCTCTCTACAAAGATGACAATTAGATCACTTCCTTCTAGGGCTGGGAAACGGTGCGGTCTGGTCCAGACCAGACCATATATACGGTCTATGGTCCAAACTGAGAGGTTAAAGTATAGACCACAGACCAGATCACAGACTATACGGTCTGGTCCAGACCACGCCTGTGCAGTCTGGTTTGGTCTGGTCTGGTCCAGATAGACCACACTCAACGAAAAATGAATAATTTGTTTAGTCAACCACACAAAAAATTGAACCAATAACCAAGAAAAATCATTGTTATTTGCCTTAAACATTAATCCTAACATGCATGAATAATTTTGATACTCTAAATCTTAGTACATAACAAAAATACAAAGTAAAAACATCCCAGCTTGTACCATAACGTCAGAAACATTAACATAATGTCATATGGAGACACTATTATCTCTACTCTCTTGTTAAATGTGGTTGTGAATGAAGGTGGGAAGAGATTCACAAAATTAAGGTTGAAACTTGGGTGTCGTTGTGGGAGTTTGGAGAGTGGTCGAATGGGCTGTTAACACGTATTGACAAGTCAGTTGGGTCCACGGTTGGTCCGGTAAACCGCGGTCTAGACCATACCAGACCAAGAGATCAAATCATAAAATAATATAGACCATGGATCAGACCAGACCATACTTCACGGTCTACGGTCCGGACCAAACTGTGCGGTACGGTTTGGACCACGATTTTTCTAACGGTCTGGTCTATATTCCCGGCCCTACTTCCTTCACATTCTTAGCCATTCATTATGGTTTGTAGTACTACAAAACTATAGAATTTTGTACGCTAACCCAATCCTAAAATGTATCAAAGAATACATTAATAATTAAGAGAATCAATTACATGGTTGGTCTAACCGCACACAATAAGCAATCAGACTATGCATGGAAGATCCCTTTTTGCCACTATATGGCAAGCTCTATTAAAGCTCCAATGATAAAATGGTATTGGCGATTTGGTTGAACTAGAATAACCAGGTCCAACTGATTTGAGGAAGGATCGACCAAACTGATTTGGGGTTAGACTGAACAAATAAAATATTCTAATTTCATGAAGGGACACATCCCTTTGATTTAGTGGTGTTGCATTTTCTTGAATAAGGATGACATAATCGATAAGAATGATCTGATGGATAACAACAACCATTTTATGAAGCAATGCATGAATTTCACCTCCTATAAATATATGTGATCTTGTCGTAGTGAGTGGTTCAATTTACTTGGTCCAAAAATCAGGATCGTATTTTTCTAGAGTCTCTCACAACCTCTTACCTATGTGGTGAGGGACGAGTTTTATGATTTAAAACAAGAATGTGGAGGTTGAGGTTCCTTCGGGGTTGAAGTTCCCCTTGGTTTTACATAAATCAAAATTGAAAGCAATGCGGGAAAAGTAATCTATACTACTTGTCGAGTGGAGAAGCAGGAGTGAGAGGTGTTAAATAAGAAAACTCCCCCTAGAGTTCTTCGACTTGTAAATTGTAATCTCGTTACGATCCAGATTAAATATTGTCATGATACAGATAATTCCCTTACCACTCACCCAAAGGCACAATCTCCCCAAATTTCACGTGTCACGTCATAAAACCTAGCTAGTGCACGTATTGTTCTTAAACAATGGTCTCTCGATGTATGCGAATAAACATACATATATGCACGACTATGCTAGTGCACGTATCATTCTCTAACTTTGGTTTGCAACTCGATCTTGGCAACATATGAGTTGCTTGATCTTTGCTAGATTTACTCCTACCATATGTCGTAGCAAATGTTGGCTCTATGCAGTTTGATCATTCAGGATCAATCATGAAAGACTAGCGTGTTCAGTCTCATCCACCAACGAAGTCCGACATGAGGATTTAGCTTATGAAACTAATCCTCGTATTAAGCATTCAATCAAATTAACAATAAACCAAATGAAAGAACAAACAAATAGGTAAAGGAATCAACTCATCATATTCGTGCCAAAATGGATGATTACATAGTCTAAAATCTCTACGGTTCGCAAACCTATGCTACTATGAATTAAGTAGCTATACATACTAATTGAAGGCTTACACACTAATAAGTAGTTATTACTCGATGAATTACCTATTATCTAGCTAACATATTGCATATAGTGTCGATTACTAGAACTAAATAAGAAAAACAGGAAAATCGATTCAAATTCATATATGAGAAAGCAACCCGGGTATGTTTCCCACTAGTCCTTAGTTAGGCCAATGTTGTTTTTACTCTCTATCACATTTCACTCAATACTTTTACGGCAAAAATTCTGAAATTAGCTTGGAATCTCGATTAAAGCAGACCAAACCCTCTTTAATAGACTACTCGAACGTAGATTATTCTCAGCCGGAATAGAATACTAAGGCAATACAGCAAAGCCTTCCACTATGGATTGAAATCCAGTACAGAGCAGTAAATCAATTCACTACCCCAAATTGAAGATACTCTATCAACTAATTAGGTATTCCCTCCCTAGGTCAAAGCAGTAATTAAAGAATTTCATCAAGATTCAAACAATTTCATGAATAAAATTTCAATTAGATTAATAGTATCAGGTTTAAAAAACCAAGAATTAAACAACAATCATTCCTAAAATACAGGACTAGGGCTCTTCATTATCAAGTGAGAGAAGGGTTTACTCCATAGAAACAGAGAGGGAAGGGGGGGGGGGGGGAGAGGAAAATAGCATAGAAAGAGGTCATCATCGTGTGGACGATGAGAATCTGTTGCGCAATGTGAATCTTCACTCCAAGGGACGGAAGTTGAGCTCCAATGGTGGAAGGATTGCTCAAATCAGTTGCAAGGGTGTTCTCCTCATCACTTTGTCTCTCTACTGCTCTTCTAGCTTGATTTTCAGATCAAAACTAGGATCTCGCTCAGAATGCCTTCTGAACTAATTTTATAGTGTACAGTTCGTGATTCATGACCTATGTCACTGTCGTGTCCAGGCCGTGACATGCAAATTTTGCATTTAATCTTAACTCGTGTACCCTTCTTTACTGTGTGAGCTATGGATGTCACAGCCTGTGGTACGTCGCGACCGTGACGTAGGATGTGATATAGGGGAAAACCTTGAACATGTCGTGAAATGGGCCAAACTCTCTACAACTTTGGGGAATTTCACGGTTTTAGAGAGAATGTCATGTAACACCCTAACCCGGCCGGGTACTACTTTTACTAAAATGCCATTGATAAATAAAATACTCAAATCTTAAATTGCAAATGGAAAAAATTTTAATAAATAAAATACTGAAAACACACACTTGTAGCTCAAAGCAAAGCCCTAACACGTGGGCAAATTAAACTCAACTTTAAAATCTCAATCTGATCACCAGTCTATACTCATAATCATAAATGTAAATAACTAATAATCTCTAATGTTGATGCTACTGAAACCCTTGACTAAGCATCCTCCGTGACGCTTATACTGCTCTCCTCTAGCTGGTTGCCCTTGAACTTTTCCTCTCGAACTCGCTGCTCCCTAACTGCTCCTCTAGCTAGCTGCTACTGAACTGGTTCTCGCTCATTCCCTTACTAAGGCCTGGTGAGTGATTTGGGGTCAGTCTACGCCCTTACGTTTTTAACTTTCTAATAATTTTGCAATTCTTCTCAAACACTTAAACTCAAACTGAGGGAAGTTGTTTGTACTTCCATTCTTAAAAATCTTAACTCTTAAAACTGTATGGGAGTAACTGTTACTCTCCATTCTTAAAGCTTAAATCTCAACTTAAATACTTGACTGACACTGGGATCCCTCACTATCTAGTCCGGTTTCCAACTCATACGTATGAGAAGCCATCCAGGCTTTCCTTAAACTTAAACTTAAACTTAGTTAGGGAAGTCGTAACGATTCATCCCCCTAACATCTTAAACT